CCCGTTAGTATGCTTACAAGAACAAGCGCCACCACAGTCTCAACAGGCGGGCTAACATTATCTTGTCTATGGCACACATGTCCACAAGTATGCATATATTTTGACTGTGAAGTTTAAGCACATGCACTTTTTTGTTTGCTTCATTTGAAGTGGCATAACTTCAAACTTGACTAACATTAATCACGCGTACGTGTATCCAACTCTTGCTCATGTCACCATAGTCAAACTAAGACTGCGATTGGGGCTGAGCAAGTCATACAGAAACAACAGACAAACAGGTGCCTGGTGTGGATTACACGATGCGTCGGTTTTTACACCCTTTCTCTCTTCTACCTTCGATTTTTATGAATTTAAGTATAACTTGGTATTTGAAACAGAGAGCAAAACTACAAAAACATCAGTACAACGGTCATGCAAAAAAAAAAAAAACAAAATACAAAAAACAGATCATGCAAAAACAATGAATTTTGTATGGCTACAATAAACATGGTTGGAATGATTTCAGGCATTTTAGACAATTCAAAGAGAGAATAGGTGGTACCATCCATAAATGAATATATCCATTGACTCCTGAATAATTATAAAAATATGTATGGCATTGGCTGTGTTGAATGGTCAGCTATCTCTTTGCAAATATACTGTGACATTGCCTCATTTGCTTACTCCTTATGTGAACTAATGTCGACTTGCATCATATTTCCAAACAAGTCATCTGAGTGTGTGGCTTTGTTATTTTGCATAGCGATACCACGATGTAACACCATATAGAATGTCCAGCGAGGAACCACAGCCGGTCTAATCAATTACCGTGGCACGCAGCTCGGGTGTCCATCTATGTGTGTTAAATGCAACCTGGCGTGAATGTGAAATACGCATAAAATAATCATAAAAATTAAAAGTTTTTACGCAATCCACATACAACATTCAGCTGCCAGGCATTGTTGAAGTGTTGAAGTAGTGAAAGAGAAAGAGAGCTATTTGGCCGTGGTATGGGGCATGGGGCATGGGCAGCGGCAGGTGTGAGAGTGTTAAGTGGAGCAGTCCGAGCAGCGTCGGGCCTCATGTAATTCCACGACACGGCGCATACAAACGTCAAAGCTCTATTCACATTGGTTATGGATGTTGTCGGGATGTGGCAATGCTCTAATAGATTGCTCATTGCACAGTGAAAATAATTTGCAGCTACGACTTTAATACGGCAACATGTGCATTTCAAGGTGAGTAGCACCATTAAGACCTTAGAGCACTTAAGGTAATCGTTCAGTGTAGGGGATGTTGGGTGCTTGCAGATCTGAGGGCTGTTTAGTGTAGGCATAGTACCGAACAAATATTTCAACTTCCAATCCAACGTAAATTAGCCAGTGCCTTTCGAAATCGAAATCGAAATCCAGGGATTACCATGGAACTGTAAAAAAGTGGAAACTCAAGCCTGCATCAGATCTATGTATGTTCGCACCGCACCGCACCGCACAAAAGCGAAAGTGCACCGCACTGAGCCGTTAGTGCTCAGCGAGTGCATGCAAAACAAAGTTGCGCCATGCCAGTGTAGGAATAAAGCGTTCACATTACACTCTACATTCGAATACCCAGCCAAGTAATTTAATGACTGTCTTCCGCATGCTCCAACACTTTCGCACGGTAAGCATTGACACAGCCTGTGGTAGCACATGAATGGCGGGGGCGTGGCGGCAGCTGCCATCACTGACTTGGCATTGACACTTCGTGTCCCAATCGAAGATACTTGTACAGAGAACTGCTCCACCGAACTTCTGTGCACCCAATGTGCTTTTTCTAAGGCAAAGAAAGAAAATTGTACAGGCTAGTGAAAATGAAACTGAATTTGAACTTTAACTTTAACGCTAACAGTTCTTTTGCTCAGGTACTTTCGCTGTTGGCCTTTCACAGTGCTGCTGCCCTTGTACCAGGCTTTCCCATCGCAGTAGCCACTCGCGCATACTCTTACAAGTATATGCACAATATGCTGAAACGTTTTCCAGCAATAATAAATGAAAATATTTTCAGTGGGCCAGAGACAGGCGTTTTTTAGTGGGTAGTAGGTTTTCTACAACGCTTCAGCGGAGACCAACCATGCGACCTTTCGTTAACTCGTAGAAATGATATCAAAGTTTTGGTATAATTCAACGAAATGGAAAGTATTGTCACTGTCCCAGCCGCTCAGTCAGTCAGCAGTTACCAGTCTGCGCTTTATGCTTTATGGGCTTTCTTTTGCTTTTGCTTTTTATTTATCTTTATTGCTTTGTTGTATACGCATTTGTTTCTGTTTTATTGTGTCATCAGTGGCATGAAATGGTTTTATGGTTCGTTTATTCCACTTTTCTGGCCCTATCCCGGTTCTGGCATCGATAAGTGTTAAGTCAAGTTCCGCACATTCTCTAATATGTATTCAAATATTCATGTGTAGACTGGGAGACGCTGGTTTTTATTCACACGATCTTCCCAGCTGCGGTCTTGACAAAACAATAATGATAATTATTTAGGTTTGGAAGCGACATCTCATTGAAAAAACAATCAATTAGGAAGTATTTTGCTCTCACACTCATACACAAGGCACTTCAATTCAATTAAAGTATCCAGCAACGAAAGTGAACTGAAGCTTTCATTATTATTTGTGTAGTGCACTAGGTAAAAAAAAAAAAAACCCTATCAAAGTTTCGGTATAATTCAACGAAATGGAAAGTATTGTCACTGTCCCAGCCGCTCAGTCAGTCAGCAGTTACCAGTCTGCGCTTTATGCTTTATGGGCTTTCTTTTGCTTTTGCTTTTTATTTATCTTTATTGCTTTGGTGTATACGCATTTGTTTCTGTTTTATTGTGTCATCAGTGGCATGAAATGGTTTTATGGTTCGTTTATTCCACTTTTCTGGCCCTATCCCGGCTCTGGCATCGATAAGTGTTAAGTCAAGTTCCGCACATTCTCTAATATGTATTCAAATATTCATGTGTAGACTGGGAGACGCTGGTTTTTATTCACACGATCTTCCCAGCTGCGGTCTTGACAAAACAATAATGATAATTATTTAGGTTTGGAAGCGACATCTCGTTGAAAAAACAATCAATTAGGAAGTATTTTGCTCTCACACTCATACACAAGGCACTTCAATTCAATTAAAGTATCCAGCAACGAAAGTGAACTGAAGCTTTCATTATAATTTGTGTAGTGCACTAGGTAAAAACTAACCCAAATTGAAGAAACTCTGCAAAATACTTAGTATTGACCCATTCGACAAAACCCTGTAAAATGGGTGTTCATGCTATCTATAAGAAATATTTGAGTGGCGTTTCGAAAATGAAAGTGAAATACACGGCCGTTCAGCGCACTCGAGGGGCAGTGGCCAGCCCAAACCAAATGAGGAGCAGTAGGTGAGCATGCACTTACTTTTAATTACTTGCACGTAATTTTCATAATAATTTGTATTTGGATTGGAGAGAGTACTACCGAAACCACAATTGAAAGTCCGCCTGACCAAACCCTGACCAGGCCCAGAAAATGTAGACCAAGAGAAAGAGTCTCAGTTCTTAGTTATATTTATTTAGTCCATTCGTTAAGCCTTAAATGCATGCGTAATCGGGCAACGATTTGGATACTCTATCATTAATTTCCTGCGGCTTGTTTTTGGTGAATTGATGAATTTTGCATATTTAAATGTAGACAAACAATTAAGTGAACTGTTTGTGGATTATTAACAGTTATTATAACCGCAATTTGCTCGGTTACACCGACACACTCACTCAGCCAAACATTCACAGCTCGTTCATGCCATTCAAGCCAGTGTGTTGTGTGCAATTAATATCTGTGCCATAAGCTGGTTGGCCGGCTGCTGGCTGATTGGCATAACTTACATAAGTCTATTACCATTACCCAGCATTTCGTGGAGTGCACAACCCGAGCAGCTGACCAATAGCTTGACATGGTTTGGCTTGTTATGCTCGGAATGCTCGATTGTGTTATTGTTTCGCTGGTAAATAGAGCAGGTGATCAGGCTGTGTATTCACATACGCAGGTATGTATATTAGCTATCCCCTTATGTAAACACACATGCTCGTAACATACTCGTAACTCATACATACAGCTATTTACATTTCACCGCGTTTCTTTGACAATCGATTAATCCCCAATATAAATAAAAGTCTTTGTGGATTTTTTGTGGGTAATAAACTTTGGCCAAATATCCACTGGCCGTAGCTGAAGCTCGCAGCAAGTGCTGGCAGCTGGTGGTTTGACTTCTTCCAAGATTATTGAATTGATATCCGATTTCTTGCGAGTGTGCTTGTGCTTGTGACTGAAACCGAAAACGAAACAAGTTTGTCTTCTCAATTTTTCTGCCATGTATTTCCATAACAAAGTACCGAATATGTTTGAGGTATCATCTCATCGACAAAACAGAATAGGCGTTAATCATGTGCACATATGCACATATTTACGGGTATATAAAATAAACAAGATCCTCTTAGATAAAAGATCGGAGAGAAGTCCGATTTCGAATGTATTCTCCCGAGAGACTCTTACTTTCTTTCAAATGACATCAAATGTGGTAACAGCAATCCATTTTAAGTCTTAGTTCTCTTCTAAAGGTAACTAAAACACAAAACAATACTGGTCCGATCAATTCAATCACATGAGATTAAATACCTCCAAAAAAAAACTTTTAAATTTAAGTCAGCTCGCGAAAACGTAAAATTTCAGGTGCTTTAATTAGGCAGCATGATCTAGGCATTGCTGGTGGCTGGTGCGTTGACTTGGCAACCAGCCAACCAGCCACTCGAGTCCATTGGATCCCAAATAGTGCGTCCACTAAGCCGAACCGAACAACAAATGAAGCATCCTTAACGCTCTTCGCTAAGCACTATGTATTAGAGCCTTTCATTTTTTACTTAAGATGATTCAGCTTTTTCCTAGAGAGAGCTATGAGAGCTCTTTCCAGAGTTTAAAGTTCTCCAGTATTCATTTAACCATTGCGACCCAGAACTTCGAGACTTACCTGTTTTGAATATCAGTAGACATAATCCCAGCAGCCATAGACAACTTATTCGATATGTTGAAAACTCCATGATGCAGGTATTGCGCGTCGTCGTTGTAACTGTAACTGTAAATTTTCTTGATGTGGCTGGTGCTGTTGCATTTTGAGGTTTGTTCACAGAACTTAAAATATCAGTAGACAACCTCAGAGTGAACAGCACACGGTCTGCACGGTGCACGGTCTCGACGGGCAGCCCGGCCAGAACGGGGAGCAGCAGCAACAGCAACAGCAGTTGCAGTTGCAGTTGAGAAAAAGCTCTGTTTCGGTTGCATACAATTGGTAAATAACTAAGAAGGCAGTTTCGCAATCTTTCAATTTAGATTTTTTGCTTTTGTTTTCAAGCCTTGTGTTACAATTTTCTCGACTGTGGATTTTATTTCTGCTGTGGCTGTGGCTGCACTTTATTTGGACGTGTTTGTATTGTTGTGAGTAGATGCAGTTGATGCCCCTATTATTCGAGCTTTCGTTTGTGGCTTAGACACAACGGCGATGCATAGTTCACACACACGTTCACAGATTACAACACTTAGTTTTTCTATTTTGCTTTTGGCAAGCGGTTTTTCAGTATTTCAGTTTTTCTGTCTACGTCTACCCTTCTGAGCTGCTGCAATGCGCGACAGTTGCTATGGAAAGGAAGGCTTAGCAAAATTCAAAGAGACAAACGAAAGATCGAAACAAAGATCGGCCGATTGTGGCTATGATTCAGATTTCCCATACGGCATACGGTATTCGCGGGCACTACCAAATCGGTAAACTACTTTTGTGATGTGCGAGCGAGTCTAGAGCGTGGCGAAGAAAATTCGAAGCAAAATAAAACAAAACTTGCACGTTTTTATTTTTATTTTTGTTTGTTAATGCTTGTATTTTTAGCGAAAACTTTCTTTTCGAAGCAAAGCGAGTCTACCGATGCACACGCTTGTGCTGGGGCTGGGGCTGTGGCTGTGGCTGGTGCTTTGCTGCAATGCAGTTGTGCCTGCTTTCTATGTACGATTTATTGGTCGAGTGCAATAGTCGCGGACGCGGACAAGCACACTTTACGAATATGTACGCATATGTACGCATATAACGCAAGCATTTCGGTTGTTGAATGATAATGAAAACTATTTTTTAAGTTAGCGCTAGCACGTTCGGTTTAGGCATATGTTCGCATGACCCTCGCGAATCTTTTCTTACCGTACGCTTGAGCGAACCACACGTCCTAATCGGAGCAACTATACAACGCGACTGTGCGGATCAAGTGTCTCGAGACACTCAGCAAGCTCAGACAGGCGACGCCAAGTTTCGGCCCCAAGCTTGGCCCCAACTTATCGTTGTCGGCTCTTGCCGTTACTGTTACTTTACAGTGCCTGTTACTGCTGTTATTGAACTCATACGTCGTTCGCCGTTCGCGGTTCGTGGTTTTTGGTTTGTTTACTTCGGCACTTTGGTATCTCTTAAGCTTTTGAAAGTAAGAGTAAAGCTTGTTTCTTTATTAAATGCCAAACCCTAGAGCTAGAGCGCTAGCAGGTCCACCATATCACGTTGTACAGCAATCCAAGAAGTCCATACCGATTTCTTATTCTTTAAATATGTTTTTTTTCTTCCGGACGCCATTTTATACAAAAAACTTCATGTTTTTACCTAAAGCGATTATCTTTTTTCAAACTGACCACTTGAGCAAAGAATTTTACCCACAGTATTCGAGCATTTGCAAACCAGATGCTGCTGCAAGGCTGCTTAGTTGGGTGGTTTTTCTCGAACCCCAACGAAAAACAGCACACCAGCACACAGCTCAGTCGCTCAGCAGCAACCTGCCCGCCTCTCTAGCCTCTCTTAACGGGCTCCCCCATACGCCTGGTATTCGCTATAGGAATTGTGAAATATTGTTACAGTTCAGACATTTCGCTTTTCAGCTCAACATCAATACGGGAAGCTTTTTGGTCAAATTTGGTGGAGTTACTATGCATCTCATTCCAAGTTTTCCAGTCCATGTCAATGTGGCAGTGAACTTTTACATGTTAAGTTTAGAATATTTCGGCTATTGACGTCCTTGGTGGGTTATAAGTGGCATACCCACAAACCAATGACAATAAACTAAATGTGTGTGTACATTTGGAATAGCTTAACGCTAACGCCTTGGTTTATTCAACAACTCGGAGTCAGATAATTGAAAGTGAAACCGTGCTCGAAAAACTGCAACCGCCAAGAACTGGGCCAAAGCAACCGACCAAAGCAAAAGCTACTACCAAAGCAGCCTGCAGAGCTCGAGTAAAAGGCGCTCTTGTGAGCGGCCAATTGGGGTTGGGTGCCTAGACTTGATGGCTAGAGCAACCCATAGGCATTAATATATGTACATACATACGTATGTTATTCTGTATTAATTTATTTATTGCTGAATTGTGTTTCACACGACTTATTCTGCTAGCGGAGGACAAGGTGTTGTTCTGCTTTAGACATTTTTATTTTGTTTCGGAAGTTGTCTAATTTTCACAGTTGAGCCACCATGAGGTCACTTTAGGGCCTTCAAGATCGACTTAATCGTAACTTCATATTCGCGTTTCTGACATACTTTAGTACATCAATTTGCAATTCTGGGTAGTACAAACGTCTTGAGAATATTTAAGCGTTGGCGTCTAAAACATAGTCCAAGGATTTGGACTTGAAATTTTACCTAAAATATACAATTTAGGCTGAAAATTGTGTGTATTTCGTAGCGTATGCATAAAGTGAATAAGGATTGGTGTTTTTTTTTTCAACGGTCAGGTCACCCTGCTCCAAATTTTCCCGCAACTTTGTCGTAGTTTGGCAGGTAGTTATTAGGCTTAATGGACAATTTCACAACGAATATTATTATAATGCTGCTTAATGTCCTAATTACAAAAGTTAACCAAAGACCGACAGCCGAAATCTTTATGAGTGCTTACAAATGTCTTACACTTAGTCGTTTTCTGTTTTCTGTCTCGCGTACCATTGCAAAAACGAAAAACGACGCAGACAGAGCCCTAAAATCGCAGAAATACTTGCCATTCACTTTATAAGGCGGTGCAAATTTATCAACGCGCAATAATCTGCTTTCCGTTGCAAACTATTTAAGGCTTTCATGATAATATTTTAATGGTTTCATTAAAGCGGTGTCCGTCAGAGGGCGATCAGAGGTTGACACACAAACACCTATTCATGTGATCAACCGTTAAATGTCCCCGACCTTGAAAACTTCCCTATTACTTCTTTTATAAAGAGCTTATGGCCTGGTAAGCCTATAAGAAACACATACTCTTGCACTTAATATACACATACAGGCCGCATTTATTAGGGCCTTCATTGTGCTGTGTTCGGAGCACGGATGGATCTATTGTGTTCAGCGGTCGATTAGGGTAGGGGAGTGTTGCACTTCAACAACAACAACAAAATATACCCATAATAATGGCCCCGTTAATTGAAAAAATCATTGTGGAATGGTAAAAATGGCCTGGTAAAAGCTTAATTAAAACGTATGTACGTAGTACGTACATTCGAAATTGTGAACGTTAATACGAAATTCAACGCATTTTGATGGGAGTGACAAATCGAAAAATGGTAAGTCGGCGGCAATTACAGTTGACTGAAAACTGTACAAGTGACAGACAATATAAAGTAACCATACAAGGTCCTGCATTCGGCTCTTGATCCCGTTCCTCATTTAAAAGAACACGTTGCATTAGCCGAAAATGCAGACAGATGGAGAAGGACGCCTTGCTTGCCATTAACGTAACCGACCGACAAGATTTTTGTTTGCCTTCATCATTTCGAACTCGCCCCTTATTACCTTTTCGTCATTCGATTTGTACAATTTTGGCGTGCAGATTGGTCGGTGTATTTTGAGGCCTTTGACTTAGGTGCTTGGGCACAAGCCACAGTACGTTAATTGACTTGCCCTTGTCAATACGGTTCGACTTTGACTACTTGTATTCCAATTTATTGCAGCCGTTAACGCTCCAGTGATACGCAAAATTCGCTTGAATGACATGAAATTGATCAACGTACATATATAAGTGCGCTATAAGCTTTTATGGAGCACATTGAAATTAATTTTTGGCTAAATTCCTCAACTTTGTGCACGCATGTGGCTTGCCTTTCTAAATTTAACTTAAATTAATGAGGTGTTTTCAAAAATACCGAAATACATAGGCACTCGTATAAACATGACGAAACGAAAAACATACTGACACCTACCAATAAAAAAAACAAGTACATAAGCACTATGTGTGGAGCGGAAATGATTATAGAGCCACTGTCCCTAAAAGTTGATATTTAAATACTGAAATTTTGATCAGTCTGAATAAAATATCAACCTGGCGATATAAACAATAGTTTTCCAATTGGGCCCTGTCAAAAACTTCCACAGGACAAGAATTGTTGGATACGTACACTTTCCAGTCGCGGCTACAGCAATAAACAACTCGAAATTCTGATATTTTGTGCAATAGCAATGAGGTGAATGTAACCGCAGAACAAAGGTAGCTAAAAGTAACTTGCTGACCTTCCCGTTCTCTACAGCTTGGCGTGACGGTGTCGCAACACCCGTCAAATCAGTACTGGGTGGCTGATCTGTGCTACAATTCCAGCTTTGTGGAAGCAAGAACGGAGACGAAGATAGAGAAGGGAAACAGCGGAGGGTGCGGTGCGGGTGCTGCAGGCAGCTTAAGCAGAGCGAAAATGGTTGTGTCTAGAACAAATTACAAGAGGCTAGTACCGGACTTTGTTGATCAGTTGATCAGAGCCAGCGAACCACGCCTTATTTTATTCGAGCAGCTACGAGTAGTTATAGTTAATTCTGTTTGAGCACCAAGGTGAGCTCTTGTTTTTACGCTGATCGACTTTTAACTTTATTGTTTGTTGGATTCAGAAATAGCGAAATAATTATACAAATGATTTTCGAAAATAATAATAATTGATCATAACCAAAGGCGTCAATCTCCGTCGAAGCTTTTGTTCTCAAAATTGGAATGTTCTCTGGCTGGGTCTCTCTAACAATGGTGCTAGCTGTATTCCCGTTTTGCATTTATGGTTTTTTTAGACTACATAATTAATTTTCACACACTGGCCAAAGTGGGAGTGCCCGCTGAAGCTGGCTTCCCATTCATACATTCGTACTCGTTTGTGTGAGCTGTTTCATTGGTCTTACCCGTTTTACATACTAGTTGCATGTAATTGAAAGTAATTATCTTCAACCAGGCCAGTTACGCTTGTAGTTGCTTTGCAGCCGCTATCTACATAAATTTCACAAACTGCTCTAGCAATAGATTAAATATGAATTGTAAAAAATATGAAGTTATTAAGACAAGAACTATATATCAGACATACGAGTATAGACATTCCTATAGAGACGCAGCTACCCTGCTGCGAGAAGTCCGTTGGAGGCACCAACAGGTCTTTTAATTTTTTCGTGTAGACCTGCTTGGGCGTACTCTACACTATGTTTAGTAATCACTTTTTGATAATATTGTCACACTCTACCGCTCAAAGCTAAGAAACAACGACCGTAGGTGGAATAAACCGGATTTGAATGACAAACTGTATCAGTACTCTACTACAAGGCTCAAACCCAACACTATCATTTCGATTTTAAAAGGCAATATCGTACTACCTCAAGGTCGTTTCGCCAGCAAGACAATTACCAACCTGGAAATCAACAACTGGGCTACCGGCAATCCCTCTTCGACTGCCACCAGGATCCAGTTCCGCTTAGGCCAGTCGCAATGCGGAAGAAACTTACCTTGCTGGTTCTTGGCAGAACCTTACTTCGTCAATCTACTTCCTTAACTTTCGACTGCAGGCGAAGGCAACCAGTTTAACTTAACTGGCGTTGCGCATGCACCAGCAACTGGACAAGTTCAAGTGCGATGCGTGGAAATGAACTTTTACGAGCTTTGAGAAGAAACTTATCTGCTCGGCTTGGCATCGTCTGTGGACAATTTGATGTGCTTTCGAATTGCACACAATACAAAGGCTGCAATGCATTACAAAATCAGTGAGCTCAGTGCTCATGCCTTCTGACTATAACGAATGGGCATTAGCTGGGCTATCTGTCTGCAAAGCTGGACCGCCCACAATTGCGAGATCGGTGGAATACATTCTGCCCCAAATTGTTCCGCAAGACGAGCGACGCGACACAACTTTTACTCTTATTGTCTGTTTGTAGTGGTTCGTTCATGTCTTAACTGCGTTCGGGTCACTTTACCCATGTATATGCGGTATTCACTTCATCACTGTAACTCGTAACCTGAAACAAATTGTAAATCAAATTGCTTGAATGTTTTGTTTCGCTCTGTGTGGGGCAATGTCCAATTTCTTTGATTTACCCGGGAGCACTTTGAGAGGTCATGGTGTCATAAAAGTCTGCCTGTCTCCTTTCTCTCTTCTTCTCTTCTTCGTAGCCCGCACTCTAGTGATAGACCCTGAGCTGTGCGTATGGCTGACTACTTGTCGATATTATAGGTTTTTTGTCGGCATTGCTTGACTTCCACGTGCACGTAATTCCCGGAGAGGATATGGCAATATACATAGTTTCGGATAAATACATTTTTTGTTGAGTCTGTGAATTATAGTTACAGTAAATCCTTTTCGAGTATTCGAAAATGTACCTTTCCCATTTAAAAGTGTCCAAATTTATTTACATAATATTCAAACAAAACCAGCCCCGCAAAAGCGATCACCCCACGCCTATATTCGGTGGGTTACTGTGACCACAGCACTACATTTGGAGCAAATTCGTGAACACCACGACAGCAGGCGCGAAAGGCAGCGCACGATCCATAGGCTGCCTGTGGACAGGCCAAATAGACAGACGCATGGCCAGACGCTAGTCATGTCTTTCCAGAAACTTTTAAGCAGATTAATTACCAACTCCTGGGCACGGAATCAGTTGAACAGGCGGAACTTAACTAAATATGTGAAGTACCATAATCTCTACAGTTATTAATTCGAATATCTAATAGAAACTGAAAAGGTAAAAGCATTGCTAGATGTATTTTTCTAAATCGAGCAAATAAAGTAAACGTACCCTCGTGGCATTTATTGAGCAGACTTTGCTTTGCTTTGTTTATAGCTCGTCTCAAATGAGGCGCATTCCTTCCATACCCTGCCCCACCTTGCAGTCCAATAAAAAAGTGCACGCCTTGTGCCAAATTTCAGATTTTTAACCCCATCAAATGTAGTGAAATTGTTTTGAGATTATGGTTCAATTGATGATACATTATGTCAAACCAACTTTGACATGCAAAGGTGCGGTATTCGCCCGTCCAATTCCATTTGCAATCCCTTTATACCAGTATCTATGTATGTATATCAGCCTATGCAAACTATTTTTCACAATGCACTCTCCGCACCCAACTCCAGCATTCATTGCACTATGCTCATACTCACTCGAGTTGCTGTCAGAGGCAACGCAAGTTGGCGAGAACGTACCTATGCAACTCGAAGGCTGAAAGTCAAAATTTTTTATATTACTCACACAATCATATAAGAATATATTGGTATATATCTATTATATATACTTCATACATACATACATATGTATGTATATATTTCAGCTTGTGGTGCAGCGGATAAAATATGTACAAGGTATCTACATTCATACCACTAGAATGTATAATTTTAACAACGGATTGAGAGCATACTTTTGGGGCTCCATGTATGGAGCCCATTTGTACTCCATAGGTACATATGTAGGTTGTTGCTACAAAAGTACAATGGCTGGAGTATAAAAACCGTTAGAATGTCGGTCGCAAGCTGTGTCTGTACTCTGCCTGTTGGTTTGGAAATCGTGGGTTTTTGGACGTTCTGACCTGATTCGGGCGTTGAATCTTGTTTGGAAACCGTTCTGTCCTCTGGGTCTTCGAGACCAGTCCGTTGGAGAGGAATTGGAATTCGTATACCGGACTATGTACCGAAGTATAGATGTATATATATTTTTTCTGCGGCGCCATATGTATATACAGTCAAGTTTTCTTTATGGGGCCTAGTCATTCTCTGAGCATATATCACTCTTTCAGCCAGGATCAATCCTACGCATTTTAAACTTATTTTTGTTGTCTCTAGTTTCTAGTATATGAATATACATACATATACATATACTTTAGGTCAATTTTGTATCGCAAGAAGCGAACCCACCAGAGTCGGAAATTACAAAGAAGTCTAAGAATCTTTCACCAAGAAACTATGTGTCTAAATTCAATTCCTAGCCCCGCTGAGTATTGGGAGTATTGAAAGGACGGACTTGTTGGGTTATGCAGCTCGTGTGTCCAACCCGATCCACTAGAGAAACCAATCGTTGCGTGCAGTAGGGTGTCAGTGTGTGACTTCAATACCGATAATGCTCGTTCTGTCCGTGGACGATTTTTGCTACCATACATACATATGTATATGTATCACTGTATTTATTTGATTTTGTGATATTCCTCTAGTCACTAACCATACAGTATATATGTAGATGTGCCATGCCACGAGTGTGTCGCTGTTGCTTTTGCTTGTGTTACACACTTACACGAATTTGTTGTTTCTTTTTGTCTTGCATTGGTGTATGTGAACGCCTGGTATTCACTGTTTCATGGCGCTCAGCCAGTTTGCCGCTCTGGTCCGTGTGGCCTCAATGTTTGTGCCTGTGTGCATATACCAGGGTATAGCATGAATATCTGGGTAGATAAGGTTTGGTCAAATTATGTCACGCAACGTGAAGCACTTGATGGAGATTATCTAATTGAAAAAGTACAGGTTTGTTGAACTTGTATACTAGATATTGTATACGTGTATTCGTTTGTGGAACCAATGGAAATCAAAGAGTCGAGTCGATTATTCTCTCTCTTCTTATAATAAAACTAGTTGCTTTGTTCATGTGTGTGTGTGTGTTCGTGAGGCGCGTGAGAGTACATGCATACAACTGGGTATTGTCGTATTATGCTTCTGATCTTTCTTGCCTTTTGTAGCTGTTTCGCATATAAATAATATAATTATAAGTACTTATCCTTTTTTTAAGGTAAATGTCTGCAGTTATCAAAAAATGGGGAACCATGGAAGAATTTTAGGATTTTTTAATCATAAAACAATATGGACTTAGCCCAATTATTAGACTCTGACTGACATTTAATGGCTTTTTAATATAAAACAAAAAAGTAGGCAAACGTTTTCCTTCGTTTCAAATTGACTTAATTATATCGATCGCATACCTAATATACGTACAGTATAGCACGCACACACTCACATGTTTGGCAGTGCTAAAGTAGACAGTAGACGGGCAAAACGGATCCTGTATTAGTTCAGCAGCAGCTCCCTTCCTATGCACATTAGATCCACCCCTGATGTATAGACATGTGACATGGGAAACATGTTTAACATATATTTCTGAGCAACAACGTGCGTTTACGATTTCAAATATTTAATTCCGCTTTTTTGTTCATCCTATAAGTATTATAATTCTAATATTTCAAATGTCGGCCAATACATTGGTACAAAATTCACATTTATGTACGAATATATATACATATGTACATACATACACACAATTATATTCTTTTATGTTTTTGTAATACTCATAACATTTCATTGCTCGGCTTGCATTCGCATAACATGTCGAACATGTCGACAACATGCCTCAGTTCACGAACCGAACGCTTCAGGCTCTGTATGGTTAGTGCTTTAGTCTTGTCTGCGTTCAAATCTCAATACAAGCACAGCCAAAAACGTATGTAAAACCATACAAATACCAGATATTGCATACCTTACGGCGAAGGGATGCATATAAATATTTACATAAGTATGTACATATGTACATACATACATACATTCATATATATGTATATTTATATACATAAATGTGAATTGTATACCAATGTATTGGCATAACATTAGCCGGCTTTTAAAATATTAGAATTATAATACTTATAGGATGAACAAAAAAGCGGAATTAATTAGTTGAAATCGTAAACGCACGTTGTTGCTCAGAAATACATATATGTTAAACACGTTTCCCATTTCCCATGTCTATACATCAGGGGTGGATCTAATGTGCATAGGAAGGGCGCTGCTGCTGCGCTGCCGCTCACGCCTCCCGTATTATAGTGGTTGGAACTAATACATGTTCCGTTTTGCCCGTCTACTGTCTACTTTAGCACTGCCAAACATGTGAGTGTGTGCGTGCTATACTGTACGTATATTAGGTATGCGATCGATATAATTAAGTCAATTTGAAACAAAGGAAAACGTTTGCCTACTTTTTTGTTTTATATTAAAAAAGCCATTAAATGTCAGTCAGAGTCTAATAATTGAGCTAGGTCCATATTGTTTTATGATTAAAAAATCCTAAAATACTTCCATGGGCCCCATTTCTGTTAACTGCAGACACTTACCTTAAAAAATTCATAAGTACTTATAAATATATGATTTATATGCGAAATAGCTACAAAAGGCAAGAAAGATCAGAAGCATAATACGACAATACCCAGTTGTGTGCATGTACTCTCACGCGCCTCGCGAACACACACACACACACACACATGAACAAAGCAACTAGTTTTATTATAAGAAGAGAGAGAATAATCAACTCGGCTCTTTGATTTCCATTGGTTCCACAAACGAATGCACGTATACAATATCTAGTATACAAGTTCAACAAACCTGTACTTTTTCAATTAGATAATCTCCATCAAGTGCTTCACGTTGCGTGACATATTTTGACCAAACCTTATCTACCCAGATATTCATGCTATACCCTGGTATATGCACACAGGCACAAACATTGAGGCCACACGGACCAGAGCGGCAAACTGGCTGTGCGCCATGAAACAGTGAATACCAGGCGTTCACATACACCAATGCAAGAAAAAAAGAAACAACAAATTCGTGTAAGTGTGTAACACAAGCAACAGCAAGAGCGACGTGGGAGTACAGTAAGCCGTTGAAAAGAATGTGTGCGTGTGTGCGTGAAAGAATGCATATGTATGTATGGAGAGTGTAATAGCAAACAGCAGAAACATTTATTTCGCTCATTTTTATTTTGTTGGCTCGTGAGAGCACAAGTGTTGGTGAAATCGTGTGGAAAAAAGTCAATTTAAAGCTGGAAAATTTAGCTAGCAGACCGCAATGGCCCTATAAAACCTCATAAAGAAAAAGAAACATGCGCTGATAACATTTAAAACATTTATATTTGAGAAAGAAAATTTATTTTCGACCAAAAACATAGCATAGCGAGTGAGTGCGGATAACGTCAAAAGAAGAAAGCAAAATGTGAGTTCGAGAGAGCAAGATCATTCCTCTCTCAATTTGCTGCGCTCTCCTTCTGTTGCGCTTTCAATGTGATGTGAATAAATACAGTTTGTTATTATTTGAGCGGTCCAGAAGTTAGTTCCGCACTTGTGTGACATTTAGTAAATGCAATTAATCTTTCGAGAGAAACACTAAAACACCTTGAGAGTGAGTGCAACGTGAAACTCTTAAAATGGATGCACAGTTTGAGCACTTGTGTCGTATTTGTGCGGCCAACACTAAGAGCAAAAACAACTCTGTGGTCGAAAGTGTTTTCATATTCAAGACCCAAGGATTGAAGGATAAAATATCGCGTCATCTATACCTAAACGTAAGTTAAATAAATAATCATTGAGCTAGTAGAAATTATTCTACTTTTGCAAACTGGACTATGGCATTTTTAGTGTGTTTCGGCCAAAAAATACTAAATTTGTTATGCTGCATCCCTGGTACTACTGACTAGCCTCCCGCCTATTTGAAAACGAAGACTTTTGAAATGGTCATAAAATCTTTACCGTTTGCTCCAGAGGCAACATTGCTGAATGCAGTCTATTGAAAATTTATGAAGTTCCATAAATATGAAATATTCGTAAACAATAACGTACAGCAACGGACAATAAAAGCAATGAAAAACGCTGTCGACGTAGCGTAAAAGTTTCTAAATATAACAACAACAGTAAAAAGTATACATGTGTGTGACGGTCGATCAAAGTAGGCAAAGAAAATTGAAAAATAGTGGCCGTGGTCGCTACCATACAAGTCTCCGTCTTCATGGGAGCCGATAGATTACACCTGTTGATATGGGACGCAATCGAAAGCAATACAAAGTTAAATATGGCAAAATTAAATACGAAATTATACGTACTTTAATCTTTTTAGGTGGCTGAGGAGGATCCACTGCCCAAGGTACTCTGCAAATCCTGCTACCGTCAGGTGGAGGCCACATCGTCGCTTTCGAACATTGCAAAGCACACACAGCTTGTGTTTCGGGACTTTTTACTAAGCACAGTGGTAAAATAATCAATCTGCCTTATTATGAAACTATTAAGCTTAGATATCATAAAATCTTTCAGCCGAAAAATGATCGCGAAGCAACGGCAGCACGGCTTGACATGCCAATGGAGCAGACAGCTGGAAAAAACGTGGAAAACCATTCGGTGACTGATGAATTCCGTCCGATTTTTCTCACCCGGGGACCAGAGACCACCATCACAATATCTATGCCCCAGGCGGGTACCCAAGAACAGGATGACGTCGTGGGCGATAGATTGAAGGATATCCGTCTTGAGTCGCAAAGGGAGCGGACCCTACCGGCTGCATCTTCCAGCTATAGTAATAGCATGGGTGGCATAAGCGCAGGGAAAAGCAATAATATGCTACCAACGCGGCGCAGCAGTGTTTTTGTTGATACGCGTTACGGCTCGGCACCAATGTCGATAGCACAACGATCGATGCAGCATCCTCCATCCTTGGCGCCCCTGCATACCGAAGTAAGGGCATTGAAAACATCAAAGAATAGCCCGGATAAGAAACATTCGCCGGCAGGCGTCATCAACTTTATTCAGACGCATGGACGTGTTACAGGCAACGCACCTGATTTCAGTAGCAGTAGCACTAAAAAGGACGATGCAGGACAAAACTCCAACCGTACGGATACCAGACATATTCATCCTTCTGTGCATGCTCCACCCTCTCCCAGTAGCGTCAGCATGCCCAATCTCCCCAACAGCGTGCTGCAGCAAAAACGGAGAAACCTCAAAAATGCGTTGAACAATATAAAAGCCATACACAGTGGACAGGTATCACTGCTGAAATCGGCACAAAGTCGACCACCAGTTGACGATGTTAGACCCCTAGTCAACACTACAGTTGTGCCTCACCAATCCCTGTATGGATGTGAGCCATGCGTCGAAGAGGCACTGCCGGAGCACATTATTATAGCGGCACCTAAGAAAAAAAAGGTTGATGTCCACCTCACGGCTCAAAAGGGGCCACCCAAACTTAAAAAGATAGTTTCAAGCCCAGCCAAACCGGCGCCTGTCACACTCGACTTAACTTTAACAACAACAGGTCCCCAAATTTCTGGCCCAACTCAATCGATGCCTAATGTGAATAGTCTTACGGATGCCATTTCATTGGGAAGTGTTATTCGGGATCCTGATTTGTTAAGGCTTATTCTAAAGGCGCTCAAATGGCCAGTCTCACACGGAAATTGTGAAGAGCAAATGACGCGTTTAAAAAACTCAAAGTTTGCTGGTATTATGTCTGACAACAATCTTTTGCAAGACACTGATCTCACGCAGTTGCTCGGCCCGTATTTGGCTCCCATGCTGGCGGTGGCTCAGCACCACGAAAATCAATCGCCTACATCCGTATTCGCATCTAACTCGATGGCTAATTCATCACAGGCGTCCAACGAGGCTATAAACATTGCCGACTTATCAAGCGCAATTCCATATAAATTACCTCCGGAAACGTCAGTTCAATTAGTGCCATCTAGTCCCACGGATCAGGAACCACCACAACTACGGCCCATGAAGACAGTCGGTGTCCCCTCCGTGAAGCGCCTACAACGAAAGATGCGAGCCCGCGATCTCGTTTCTGGAAAGCAGTCGGGCACTATGACCGCAGCAACGACATCGAATGCGGAACGTGTTACCAATGAGCTACTAAACATCAACTCTATATTAATATCGCAATTCAGATCGAATCCAGCCGATGCGCTAAACGAAGCACTTGTTTCAATGCTAAAGGAACAGCAGGAATCAAAAGACCAAAATAATAGTCACCGTCGTCGTAGTGCATCCAGTAGTAATCTCAACTTGGAAGATATTGTTCTAGTCGAGCCGCAACCAGCCCTACAGGACGCTCAAACTGTTTCTGACATAAGTGAGACCAGTAACGACTTGAACCAGAATGCCCAAGCACCTTTGATAGCACAACCAATTCTGAAGAGGCGCACGACCGTCATTCCGTCATCGGAACTACCTGAAACCATAGTGCCTAATAGGGAAAAACCCTTGACTCCCATAAAAGGCAATGAAAACAATGTTACAACTGAACCTTCTATATCTAAGAATTCGGAAGAGGATAAAAATATCGATGTGAAACCTGCAAGCCCTCAAGAGCCATTAGAGTTGTCACAAGCACCCACTAGTACAGTTCCGGACGCCACAAATAACGCCAATATCACACCCAACACTCAGGAACACCCTGAGACAACTACTGATGCCGCTTCCGTTAATTTAAATGATAGCGAAGGTGTCGGCAAAGCAGGAATTCGCAAATCAGATGTCAAGTCTGCGCTTGGTCAAAAATTGCTAGAGGCAATTGGTCTCCCACAGAGTAACGATGTACCACCGGAGAGTTCGCGCGATACACTCCGAAGCGCACTAAAACGGTCTCTGAAAAAAGCCCAGGAGCAACAGCAACAATTGAAGAGAGTCAAGCAGGAAGAGCCTGTGAAACAATTGGCTGATTCAACCACCAAGCCGAGTGCTTCTGAATCAGCTGAGGAACATAAGAAAGCCATAGCTGAACGAGAACTGGCGCTACTGAAACGCAGATCTAAAGTATCCGAAGAAAGCAAAGCATCAATGAAAGAGTGAGTGCTGGTACATAGTTATATTATATACTAAAAAATAATTTATTTACCTTCTTAGTGAAAAATCTGAACGGACAGATGTAAGTTCTTCCTCGTCGCGGAATCGTCGAAATCACAAGTCCAAGACGGACTTATTAGTGGAAGACTCAGCGGATGATGAAAAGAAAGCCGAGCGATGGGATGAGGATGATGACTTGCCATTGAAAACGGAAGGGGAGAAAGTCTTAGAAAGGAGCGGTAGCAGTAGCAGCAGTCGCCCCGCACGTACCAGCAAGACTATGTCTAAGTATTATAAAGGACCTAGCGGTGACAAAACATTATCGTCCCTAAAATCGCAACACTCAATGGGCACACGATCGACACGGCAACGTTGAAATGTTTAAATACACGATTCTGCTTACCTGTCTTCACGTATCAAATACGACAATATATTTTTGGACAAGTAATGTGTATATATTTTTAAGCCGCATTTCCATGCAAAATGGTCAATTTGTACAATGTACACGCGAATATATAGACTATCTTATAGTTAATAACAGTTACATTTGCAGCTGAAGCTGATTAACCGCAACGGTGCGAAAATAGTTCAACTATTTGAAAATTTTAATGAATATATACTCTGATTTGGATTAGTATCTACATACATATATAAAATGACACACTGCTCATTATTATTAAATGCAAGAATATGATTTGAAACTTATTAATTAATTTTTTAATATCTTATCCAAATAAGTGAATTTATGTACATAGTATATGTAAATAATCTGACATAGAAAACGTTAACTATACCAGACAATTAAGTTTTTAGGAGAACAAAACTGAACAGCGTGCTGGATAGCTGCTTTTGTCAGGTTGTTTCTTTTCACTTAAAATCAATGTACGATACCATCTGAAACACAGAAGATCAAACTATCAATTATAATGAACTCTTAATAGTATATGTAAGTAATGAGTTATTCTGAAGTCTACTCTTAAGTTGCTAAGTTTTAGATCTAAAGAACCATTCAGATTTTGTTTAATAATATTAATGGTCAATCTGTTATCGGATTACCACAACAAGCACTATTTTCGAGAAATAAATATCAAACCTTCTTTTGTATAATACTAATATTTTTACATCCAATTTAAAATTCATACAAGTAATTTTGACTTGTTTGCACACCATGCATGAATGTACAATTTCCAAATCTATTGCTTGAGAATCAATTCACCTTCTTGTGCGAATTCTACTTCTGTAAACATTAAAAATCGCTTGGTATTTTCGCCTTTTCCTGAATAGCAAAAATAGCCAGTTCTGCAGTACCCAAACAGATTCTACAAACACATGGGCACAGGTTGCCTGAGTCAGTTGATGACAATAAGCAAAGCAAAACATCAGTTGAATATGTCTCGCGACGCGCGGCGGTTGTTCCAACAGAGCGGCCCTGGGTATTTATAGCAAAATACTATTCGCCTAATTAGCAGGTAAAGGGAAGATGAACAATCATCACTGCTCATATACACAACAATTTTTTTGGACATATTCTATGTACATGTTTACAGGCAAAATTAAAACACTGTTATCGCCAAATTGCTTTTATCCAGCTCTCATTAACTGATAACGGCTGTGATTGTACATGCATTTTCTGTACTAAAAAACTGGCTTACATTTGTTTGATAGTGTCGAAAAGACTAAATAATGAATAGCTGCTGTGGAAAGCGAAAGCGTGGAGCGAACTATAGTAGCGATGAAGAACATCACCTGCATTTTTTACAGGATGAAGTAAGTACTAAGTACAATCCTTGGATTATACATTATTATTTACGTCAAAGGTAAATCCAAGGAAGGGTAACTGATAAAAATGATTGCGGCACACTCATCGAAACTTTCAATAGACGACGCCTAGGTCGACTTTTGCTTGTACGAGTATGTATATATGTATATGGATGTACATATGTGTTCTTTATGAGATATGTCGCACCCCAACCTCGCACCTTATCAAAACGAAAAGGCTTGGGTTATTTCATTGTGCATGTAAACATTTAGCATAAAGGTGGCGGCACCGGCACAGGAAAATAGAGACTAGAGAACTGTGCGCACAGAAATAATATCAACAGGCCCCAACATATGTCAGCCGATGAGCAAATGTGTATGTACATTGTACATCCATACAAACTGAGCCCCAATCGTTTGCCAAGTCCGCGCTGAATACCAGAGAGTAAGAGAGAGAAAAAAGAGAGTGTAATCGCATCTGCATCGCGAGAAACGTGTAAATTCGCTAACCCGTTTTTGTTAGTATGACGGCAATAATACTACTAGTCTGCCGTTCCGTTCGCGAATTCCTCGATCTGTCGGATGCATTGTGGCAAAACGCATTTAACATTGACCGCAGTTTAACCTACTACCACACCAAGCGTCGACTAGAATTGTTTCGATTTCATTGTCGGGAGTTTTGGTTGCGTCAGTACATAAAAAACGCGGAAAGCATGCATCGTAGGAAAGACGTCGATTTTGCTGCCATTGAGGCCGGCGCAGAGTGTAACCAAATTATGGAAAACTTCGACGAAACAGCACAGGAACTACATTTAAGGTTTCAGGAATCGGAGCGTCAGCACCTTTGCCAGCTGGATTATTTGGCTGCCATCGAAGTGGTCGATGGCAGTGAGTTTAATGTACGTAATCAGTAAACATATGACAGCAAAGCGCTATATTCTTCTATGTAGAACACAATAGCATACATATGTTTGTGTGTATGTCTGTATATGTGTATGTACCAAGCTCGATAAGCTTTTTATATTTCGATTTTGTTGCATATTTTGGAATACTAGTGACAGGTACTTTTGTACATATTCATACATATGCAGGTACGTTAATATGTTCACATATGTACATATTTATATTCAATTTACTCTTTTTGTGTCTTTACTGTGACATTTAGCGTGCTTTAAAGAGTCTTCTCTCTTTCGCATTTGTTAGTGCGTTGGAAAGCTTTGCACAGCTGTTTCACACAGTCGAGGCATAAAAAGTGTCGCACTCCTAGCTTTGTTTTCTTCGGTCGAAGACCTATCCCATTTTTCATCAATATGCTGTTATTTACAAATCTATGCACATACAATAAGTACATACAGCAACTTGTAGCGATAAAGGAATTATTACATGTACATTATCTCATATTGAAGCTTGTTCAGCGGCTCATAGTGAATCACAATTTTATTGTATAAAGAGCTTTCAGCGCTGTCGCAGTGTTGTTTTCAGCGCGTCATTCGCGAAACGTGAGACAACCGAATAAATATAAACAACTTCTGTACCAGCAGCAAACCATTTTTTAAATCTAAATAATCCAAAAGTGGTTGTTTTTTTATTAATATAAAAAGCGGTCGATAATGGTGTTGTGTTCTAGGGCGTTACTTCCTTATACATATGTAGCTTCGCTGACGCCTAAAAATCTCTCGACTAACCGAAGGCAATGAAAACCAAAATACATTTTAGTGCCCAAGTTCATACGGCATACATACAAATGTAGAATATATAATTATATGTACTGCACTGTTAATACAAGGACAGCTTTTGAATCATCATTCAGCTACGTGAAAGCGGATTTTAGTCGAATTAAAGATTATTGATTGCATGAGAAACTCATACACACTTAGGAGCCTTCAGTAAATATATAGTTGTACATATCTTGTACCTATTGACACTATTTTTTCGTACCGAATGTACCAAGGAATGCATATGTTGAAGCATAAAACTTTATAGTTGTTACAGTTTTAGTCTAGCCTCCGCTTTAACAATGTGTCTTAGGGTTTTATGTAGAAAACTTCTCTGCTGTTTTGACCAGACCAAACAGGGCGGTTTGAATGAGGTAAGCAGAAAGTGAAGAATATGACATACATACATGTGTAGAACTTCGTTAACTAATAAATAATATAATTTACAAGGCGAAATGCATCCAGAATAATCGAACATGCAAAAGTATAGTGAATATCAAATAGTGAAAAACGAGAACTGTGCAGTAAAACATGCCAAATTTAGTATTGGCATTCACACATACATACTTATGTATGTACATATGTATGTACGTGTGCGCAATTTATAAACTGAGCTTGAGTTTTTTTAAGTTTAGTAGGCCTTCACATTGTTTGTATCCTCATCGAACTATTTGAATTTTAAATAATGTTATCCTTCCTAACCATTAACCATGAACTGGCGTTGGAGCTAGGCAGTATTGTAACAAGCGTGTTTGTAAATCTAAAGACTACTCTACTCTATCAAAAATTTAAATTTTAGGCCTCATTTTACGAATATTCAGATTCACTGCCAAAGTACAGCAACGATCAAATTGGAAAACTAAGTGAAGGAGTTAGTTTCACCATTGCTGGCAAAATAGCAATTAACTGTGAGAGGTAAGACAGAAATCCAATTCAATCTGATCAATGTCAATCTGATGAAAACATTTGAAACCACAGATTCTCCATCAATTTTGTGCACAACAATGAGACACGGGATGTGGCACTTCACATTAATCCACGATTGCCCCAAAATTATATCGTTCGAAACAGCAAAGTGGCCGATATATGGGGCAGCGAGGAAGTTTCTTCAGCACTGCCCTTTTTACTGCGCAGAGGCGATAAATTCGCTATTCAAGTGCTCATTACAGACGCTTGCTATATGATATCGGTGAACGGTAACCACTTTGCTGAGTATGCTCATCGGATTCCCTATAACGCGATTCAACTTCTGGAGGTTAAAGGCGATGTTGAAGATGTGGAAATGGAGCGAATAGTAGTGGAAAACTATCCTCAACGGTTGCCCGAGTCACAGGCTAAGAACATTGCGATCCACATTGAGGACGGACTTGATGAAATTGATGCCAACGATGAGGAGGCTATCAATATACCTCATGAGTGGTGCCTTATTAGTGCGCCAGTTACAAATTCAGACAGTTCACCAAAGAGTACTTACAGCAAAAACGATCCAGGACTCACATTGCCATATTATGGCGCCCTGCCTGCGAATTCATTAGTCGAGGGTCGATGCTTGAAGATTGAAGGACGCGTGCGTCTGCTTCCGCATTCATTCTACATAAACTTGCAGCAGGGCCGGGATATATGGCCACATCCTGTAATCGCATTCCATTTAAACCCACGATTTTCGAAGGCAAGCAGCGGAGCAATCGGGAAAGCTGTGGTGTGCCGCAATGCCTGGTACAATGGTAGCTGGGCGGAAGAGGAACGCTCAGAGTTGGATACAAATTTCCGTCCCGGTCGAACTTTCAGTCTGGCTATTGTATGTGCTAAGGAATCATTTGAAGTCTATGTCAACAAGCAGTTTATTACGGAATTTAAATACAAAGTTAGCCCCAAGATTGTCGACACAGTGTACATACAAGGAGATGTTAAGTTATGGAACATCACTTTGGAGCACAATCCGATGGTAAAAGGGAAGAATTTGCGAATCTATCACAATCCCATGTACGATGACAAATACTAGCGGTGAACCTTGAATCTGTATCTTGAACCACTACCAGCGTAAATTTTGTTTATTCATTTCTTTTGTCCAAGTTGTTGAGCGACAATAATTTAATAAATTACTAAGCTTGTTTTCTATGAGTAAAAAACGGTTAATTAAATAAATAAATATATTCCAGCATTGACTCTCTCAGTCAAAGATTTTCTCAAGAGAAGATCAGCTTCTTCATGCTCAAATTGCAGGTTCCTTCGGCTTGTCATATTCTGTTTAATTTTACTAGCTAGCTAGGACTCTCAGCACTTAATAAATATTTTTATCCAATAGATATAAGGTTTACACAAAAAAAGGTCAATGAGAAAAAAGCATAAAACGTGGGAATGATATGTACGTAAGTGGAAATGGAATGTTACGTCGTTTGACTATTTGTTGCTTGTCAACCGGTAGCATGGTCATTTTTGTACCCTATTTCTTTTAGTTTTCAAAGCTGCTTTTAAACATTAATAATGACTGTATCTTAGAGAGACATGTTTTTAACCTATTCATATTTTTCTGTATATATATATCTCACTCTTGATTCATCTTCGTTGAGATAGTTTCAAAACAGAGACAGACTAATTTCTGCATTGATGGGAGCATGAGATTCTCAATTCTATAATATAATTGAAAAAAAAAAACCTGCGTATGGGAGCTTCGAAACCCTATGTTCATTAATATATTTAAAAAATGGAGCTTAGATTGATAAAATTGATTAAATATACTCAACTTCGACGTCAAAATGTCGCGAAAAGTATATAATATACCGGCACCCCTGCTTGCTACTGAACTGGCTCTGCGTCGGGAAATTAAACTTTTAATGACAATAATATTTCAATTCGCCGGAGAGCCGACGCGGCGAAAAGAGAACCAGCGCCAAGGAGCTGCCAGACTGCTGGAAATCGTTGCGAAATTGTGCCGCGAAACAGGCTAAAATCAAAGGGGAAACTTCTGCTGCATAGCCAGTGTAAGAAGTTGAAGATTTTCCATGGACTTTCCCCATTTACCTCCCTCCCTAGCCCGCGGCGAATACTTAACATCCCGCCCCCTCTGATGAGTGCTTTCAAGGTAAACTCCATCTATGGCCTCCATAATTGAAAGGCTCAATTTCCGTATAGACTTGTGCAGAAATCTTTTCTGTTTTGGTTAAAAGCCAAGGCAATAATGAATGTTGCCACCAACAAGTAAATTGTTGTATGAGCTTTTTGTAAATAATTAAATCAAATATACGTTTATGTTTCTGTCAAAATCTGTTCAATAAGTAAAATTTTTACTCAAGTTTCTTGCTCGAGTATGCATACCCGCCATGAATTTTTTACCTGGTGCTGCCACCATTGCCCTGCGACGAGAAAGGGATGCGATGTCAATGTTTTATGAGGAACGCACTGCTGCAAATCGACGCAAACACTATAAACTACAAGATCCGCCAAGGCCGGGGCTTAGTTTCTTTTTTCACGGACTCATTCTCAGTGCATGTGAACATTTTACCATTGATTTCCTCACTGTGGAGGGAAAAGAAAAAGGTGATCACTGCAATGTGTTGCTGCAACTCGGTGCTCGACTACCTCAAAACTATATTGTGCGAAACTCCCGCTTAATGGGAAAGTGGGGACCTGAGGAAAATTCATCACCTCTCGGCTTTCAACTGATACGCGGGGATACTTTTTGGATGCAGGTACTCCTCACAGTGGAATCGTTCTACATATCAGTAAATGGCTATCATTTTGCTGAATACGCTCATCGCATGCCGTATAGATGGCTGGCTTCTATTGACCTACGCGGTGACATTGATGAAATTGTCATTGATAAATATTATGTGACAGAGTATCCTATCCGCCTATCTCAATCAGTGGCCCGAGCGCTACCGTTTGTCTACGACTCCAATATATTAAAATGGCTCAATGGGGAAGCCACTAGTACGCTACAAAACTGGGACTCCCTGGACAATTTATCCAGACTGCAGAGAGCTACAAGGCAAATAACTGCAAACCTAACACTTCCATTTTACGGCCGCGTGCCAAACCACGAAAAGCTCGTAGAGGGACGTGCAGTTCGAATCGAAGGCCGTGTACGCCTGATGCCGCAAAGTTTCAGTGTGGCGCTACAGCAGGGCCAGCAAATTTGGCCACAGCCAACAGTGTCGTTTTATTTTAGTCCGAGTTTTTTGCGTAAAACACGCGATAAAGTTGGTAAGGTAATCGTCACACGGAGCGCCTATTTAAATGGCTCCTGGGTGAAGACGAAAGTATCACGACTGAACACAAGTTTAAGACCAGGAAAAGCATTTGTCATATTAATTGCATGTCGACCTAACTACTACGAGTTGTTCGTGAACAGCAAACTCTTGCTGGGCTTTAAGCATCAAATGAACCCCGAGTGTGTGGATATTGTAAATATCCGTGGAGACGTGAGGCTCTGGGATGTAGTCATCGAGACCACCAGGCTCGGTCGGCGCCGAACTGGTGAGTATGAGGCATATAGTAGCCTATAAAATAGACCGATCGACCGATCGACCGATCTTTCAGCTGTTACCTTTGACTGACGCGTATCTTTTCCCTCTCAGGCAAATCAATCATCCAGCGTGCTATCAGAACTTTGCGCCAATCTCACCTTGAATAATTCCTCAAAATGTTATTGTATATGTGGCTTTATCTTTCTATGCAATGGCATTAATATGCCATTGGACGGAAACGCAACCTGTCGAAAGCCATGTTGTACAAATTTATAAGAACCACGTCGTCTTTATTGCCTCGATCTGCTATTGTAGGCTGGCGTTGCCGGTGCCAAACAAACCACTACAACGAAAGCCCGGCACACACGACAGCCACTCACTGTGTGCGTAGATTTATGATTTCATCTTTACCAAACGTATACAGAATGTTCTGCAATTAAAATAGCTCTTTTATGCGCCCTGGAGTAAGGAGTAAGTCTAGTGCAGTGCCCCGCGCTCCAACTCATAAATGTCAATGTGCTGTCGTCAACTGAGCCGTTGCCCATAAGCGGCAGTTAGCCGCAGCAGGAGCAGAAGCAGAGGAAGCTCAGACCGGACCGCTCCGGACTTGACCGTCTGAAGGGCCTCGGAAATTGATTATTAAAAACGATAATCGATTAAGGACACAGTATTGCAGTGTAGTGCTGCCAGGGTCGTCACTGAGCATGGGTTTCTCAATTGACGTTTATGTCTACATGTGTTTAGCAAGACAGTTGACATTGTTTTGGCATGGCCAACAAAAAGCACCAGCAAAATAATTCAAGCCGAAAACGTCATCCCTGTAAATATTTCCCAGGGCTTGCCAAAGGAAGTAGTCTCTGCCAACGCTGCGATTGCCAAGAAAAAATATTATTTATGGTTCAAGTTCGTACGTGTTACGCATGCTTTGGTCCATTTTGCTAATGAAGTGGATTACTGATTGTCATTGTCCGCAGCGACCTGAGTCCAGAATTGCATCCTTTTTCTTAATTTATGGCTTTGCTGGTGGCTGGGATGGTCCATATGTATGGTAGAATATTTACAGCAACTATTTTACTTTAATAAATAATTGTATTTACGCAACAAATAGTTCCACCTGATAGCCATCCTTAACTTCCTAACCCCACTGAAAAGACTAAGTCTAAGAAAAAAAAAAAAAAGATAAATATAAAAAAGATTTTAAAAAATGTTAGATATTTATTTAGCCATTGACAACCCATTAATAATTATTTTCGGTGTTTTCTCTCTTCATGATATTTCCCATTTAAATGTGATCTACGACCGAATGCGCAAGCATGGCTTCATCACCTTTGTGAAGCAAACGGTTGAGTATAAAAATATTTAATCGACGGGCATTGAAATGCTGGCAAATTTCGTGCAAAAATGTGAGCGAAAAGAGGACAATCTGGCTTGGCTCCTGGCTTGATGAGTGCACCCATTTTCGGTAATTAATCAAAGTTAATTATGCGGGTATGAAAGGCCGGTACCTTTTGTAACATCCGTCCCTCATGCGGTTATGCTCAAATTTATAAAAAGCAAAAAGTGCATTGGTTTCTGTCGCTGAAAAGTAACCGTAGTCAAACCGAACATTTTGAATTCCAGTGGCTGTGCCAACATTTTAGTTGCTTTAGCCTCTCGAATATTTTATTCAGGATGAGCTTCTCTCGTTCGGTTGTCGCTAAATTGTGCGTGTGGTAATTATCGCAGGTATCGTTTTCCCCTATTGATTGCCCAGCTGCTGAAGATGATGTTATTGCTGCTGGGCCTGTTAATTAATAATTTCATATTTTTCCTGCCGCTTCTTTATGTTGCTCCTGGGCAGTCCCTGGTCTTCAATCATCGTCTGTGCTGTGGCATCTCGATGATCCGATTTCGCATTTTATGCATACCATGGCCAGTGCATTGCATCAATTTGTCAGGATTGATTATGTTATTAATTCGATTAAAAAGATGATGATTTCCTGTCTCCCTTTGCCTATAATCATATCTATCGAGTGTACTATATTTATGTGAATGCATTTTTGTATCATGCTAAGGAATAATACCTTTAATAATGCGTCCTGCGATAACCAGGTATAATTAGGGCCTAACAAATTTCGTATCAAAGAATTTCCGACCAGAAAAGCCCAATCAAATCGGACGAAATTGGGCTGGCGATAGTACGAGCCAGTTCAGAAGTAAAATGGTAACAAATGCATTCGCACCATTTTACAACATGTCATGCTCGCCAGCCTCCGCCGATTAGCCAGCCAGTCTCAAAAGTGAGCCGCTGTTGTGGCTTCAGTCGGAGTATCGAGGGCTTATCAATATTCCAACTGTGTACTGTTGTCACACAGAACACGGCGCAATCAATGCCTTTGCCTCCGCAGTGCGGTAGCTGTGGGTACATTCTAAATTAAACCTCAATTGGGGTTTTGTCCGCTGGCTCCACCGCAGTCCCTGTGCCTGTGGATGTTGCTGTTGCTACAGCAGCTGCCAGTGGCAATTGTTTGAAATGGTCAACGGAATGCAACTCGTTTCGCATGCGACGTACTCACGCAGTCTGCGGAAAGCTGAATGCCCGTCGCCGTCCGAATTACGAACCGTCCAAAAAAGAAGCTAACGAAAAATTGGTGCGTGGACATACAGTTTTGTATGGTGTATGGAGCTTGGACTTCAGAGAACGCTGTTCGTGGCAAAAAGTCCACGAAATCAATCACTTTTTTCACTGGACACGATTCATTGTATATTATCATGTGCATGTGCTAATCCCATGGATTCAGACAACTGAACGATCAACAGTGTCAATGTGAGTGCGTTTTAAGCATTGTCAGAATCAATTACGTGGTATGGAAGTGACAACAACCTTTTACGTGTACTCGTGTGGGATACCATAAGGACAATTGAGGGTCTTTTCTGATTCTGAAAATTTCCAGCAACGTATGGTATACCTAGAAACCGACTTTGTACTTCATAAACTATTATAAACATACAGCTATAAATAACTAATATTAACTCTACATCTTAAGCTTTACATTTTCGTCAAACTACGGCTGTCAGTGCCCATCGCTGTCAGAGATAAATCCACAAAATGGGAAGATGCTGCTTCGTTGCCAAACCTACATTTGACCGCCCGATTCTTCTTTAAAAATGTTGTATTATACTTGTCGGTTTTGGTGTGTTTGTGTGTGTATGTGTCTGCTCTTCTCCAACTAAGGGACCCACAAACCGACCGCTGCTCCGGCTCTCGATTTCTCAGAATATCGCCCGAGATCAATCTTACACTCGTTTGATTGCATATTTTTATATGGTAGTTGGACACATCACATCGTTCGCTCGCATCCTTTTTCGGTGTTGTCGTCGCCATCCGCCAGCAACTTGCAGCCGCAGTCCGTCCCGGCAATGGCATCAGCGTCGGGCGGCGTCTGTTGTTTTGCTACTTGCTTTTTATAAACCGTCTTTTTTATTTTTGGGGGCCCTGCACGAAAATTCCATTGATTTTATTGCGGCTACTTTACTTCTTCAATTTTTTGTCGGATATCTTGAAAATAGTCTTTCTTACCCATTTAGTGTTCTTTTCTAAGACTTTTCTAGTCGCTACTAGTCCCTACTATACCCACAATCCATTTTTTAGCTCTGACTGATGCACCATTCCAGTCCTGTCCATTGGATTGGCTATGTGAGTGGACTTTTCATTAAACATATGTACATAGGTACGTGTGAATATATGTATGTAGCCATGTAGCTATGCTCTATTTGTATGTTTCAATCTCAATGTGGCACATTTGACCAGAACAGGCAGACGAGTGGGATGATACGCGGCGGGTCCGGCAAGGCATGTTGCGTGGACGTGGACACGCTGGCGCCAATTCAATGCGCATGTCTTCCTACATTGCAACCAGGATTATACTGGATAGCCTTGGTTTAGCGATGGCAGTGGTCACAGCTGGTAGAAGCACAAATGTGTAAATTTTGTTGCGCTGATAGGCATCGTGTTGCTCACCCTGGCTACTTTATGGCCGTCGCGACGGTCACTAGGGGAAAGTATAGCTTACTGGCCTCTGTGGGGTGGGCTCTTAATGCGCTCTGTAACTGACTTTGCTGGGATTGTGCATTTAATCTTGCGCGTGTTGCTGCTGGAGCGCCAGTCGATGGTGCACCCAGATGTTGCACTTGCCATATTGGCTTTCAGGGTCCGCTGCTTTGACATTGCACGCTGAACAGCATTGGTAGCTGGCCAAAGTTGAACTGGATCCGATGGATGCCTGTGTGGCGTCCAACTTTATTATTTCTTTTTTTTAATTAAAAAACTGCGTAGGCGGTGGCAGAGGCCCTGCAATTCTGGCCGTGCACGCTATTTTAGGCCGTGGAAATTAGTTGTAAATACAGTTCTGTAAAGCCAAATGCAAGATTCATTAACAAACCAATTTTCCATAGTTCTGCTGTAAACTTGAGTAAAAATTGCATCAGTTTGTTTTATTACGCAGCAAGATATGTGTAAATATGTATATACAACCTGAGTCTGGTCTAGTATCGAACCAATGCTAATGCACTACTATCATTTCTCAGAATAAAGTAAATGTGTAGTTAGATATGCCATTCAACTATTGAAGAGATGCTTTAATAGGAGCATTTTAAAAATTGTTTGCAGTTGGAAATCAACACTTCAAAAATTTCACGAAGCACTCACTCGTCTAATGAAAACCTCGAATGTTGCGTGTTTGAAGTAAATCAAATCAATTTCGAAGACGATTTTGTTAAGAGATGATTGCTTTGAAATTCTTTCACGCAGGCTTGTGTATAATTCACGGCAGAGACCCTTTTAGATAAACAGGATTGAAGGAACAAAATGCTCCTTTGTGCCGAGTAAAGATAGGTATTTAAACGACGCCCCCACGTATGTTTTTATGAGAGCTTTTACTAACTGGTGCGTGCAGTTTTTTATTATCGTTTCGGAAATGATCTGGGGTAAGCTAACGGTTCTTCAATTAGGTTTGAAATATTTTTTTTTTTGTCCATGATAAATGACTATCGTCGTCTTAGATCACGGGCTCCAGCATATTTAATTTTAATGCAAAACGTTGGCGCCAAGTGACATTTATGCATGGCAAGATTGAGTCGATGGCGACGAGCAGCGCGCCGTGAAATCTGGCGACACTTTTGTGTTTACGTCTGCGCACATGCGCATTGCTCACCTCACCGTCTATCTGTCAACTTAAATTCCCGTCTGCCACGTCAATTACTCACACAAAGTCACAGACAATCGCTTGTACTTAAATTACCGCAAATTACGTGATAATTGGCCACCGTAGCAATTCAATGAGCCACTGCGTGTCAATACGGAGTAGGTAACGACGATATGTTCAAATTTGCTAGTATTATAAATTTTAACCTGATGGGCCACCGTTCTTTTAAGAAGTAATGCAATAGTCGGTTCAACAGATGACGAAGAATACCACATGGCATCGACTATTTTACTATAGCTCTTGCTGCATTAAGCCCTAATGATAAACTTTTGTGGGTATTTAAGTATATATGTATATGTATGTATATGTATATATATAGATCCAGTTTATTTAAAATATTTTACGCGACAATTGCTAGACAAACATTTGGCATGCAATGAAGAGTAGCCGTCGCGTCGCGTCGCCTAATAGCTTTGGTTTCCTTTTCTTCTTTTGTGTTTTAGCTTGGTCAACGATTGCAATGGCACCGCCACTAGCGTACCAGTCTGGTTTTATTTAAAAATTGTCACTTGTGCCTTGCACTCTTGGCGCCAATGAATCGTGTGCGCGTTGGGCAGCTGCACACACAAACACGCACAGTTCCCATCCCCGTTAATTTTCCGTTGCAAATAAGTTTCTTCAGTCCCAACTAAATTCCGACATCTGTTAAAGTATTCCCAGAAATCGGTCTCCTAGATGTATTCCTTTTTGCCTAGAAAGCATTGGGCAAAATATTTATCCTATAAACTTCGTATTCATCCAGATAAAAATATATGAATTCATTTATATTGAATATATGTATGTATGTACATATGTACATATGTTTAACGAAATTTATTAAAGTCTCGTGCGTATGGGGATAGGACTTTTTTCCATTTGATTCATTTGAGGAGCTTTGGTTAGCCTAAAACCAAATAACTAATAAAAGCAGCAGCTATTTTTACCTTGCCGTTATAACCAGTAGTAAATTTTTACCTAATTATCAAAGTAGTCCAACCACGCTAGACTTAGCTACCTTAGCTCACTTATATTATACATTTTATACGCATGTTAAATGAAAAGATCACGCTTCGAGCTACACAGCATGTGATGCCAAGACGATCACCCTCACACTTTCAATGGAGGGAGGCACACGCGCAAGTGCGACCCGAAATAGACGTTGGCCACACCTGCGACAGGTGCGACAATATTTGATGTCTGCTAAAAGTTAAAACAGCAACTACAGTTGGACGGGGTTATTTTTAGACGAAATTTAAGCCAATATTTGCACAACAACTTCTCAGTGTGCTACCACTAAAACAACATCTCGTCACGACATGTGATGCACCGACTTGCCATAGTTTAATTGTTTACACAAACGCTAATTTTTTGAGTTGGCAGTAGAAGTCTCCCCGTGGAAGACTCCCCAGAGCCTAAAGCTAGCCGAGCACCCTTACTTGTGCTGGCTGGCAACAGATGTCCATTTGTTTAATGTCTTTGAAGTTGGAACAGGCGGTAAAACTCACGAGGAGGGAGGCTGGCGTTCTGTCGGAGCAGAGTCCGAAAACTACAGTCGGAGCCTCTGTTTGATTTCGAATGGTTGGGCGATTCGTCGACATGGGACATGGGACATGAGACTGTATCGACTGTGCCTGCGTAAGGAGAAAGAGTTTTAATGTGAGAATAAATCTTATTAATATCAGTGAACAGCGCTGTGTCGCTTGGTTCTTTTGCCATACCCTGACTTTACTTTTTTTGTGTTCTCTCCTGTGCTCTTGAGTTCCCGCCGTTGTGTTGTCGGAATATAAATTAGCTTTGTCGCATTTTAAATGCGTTCGCAAAATTTATTTAATTATTTTTTTATGATCTTTTGATGATTGCTTCAATTATTTTGCTTCGAAAATTACTTTTACTCGATTGCCCAAACTTCCCTTGGGTATTCAGACACTAAAAGTGTAGATGCAACACTACCCACGAAATGAATTACGTCTACAGCTAAGGCCCGTCTTCTCTTGTGGTGACTTCCTAATCTAACCAAGCCCCACGATCCCTTCTGAAAAAGCCGAATCATTGTAATTCACCAGTAGACAGTCCGGCGCAACAAGTGTGCATTCATATGGCCAACGACCAGCGGATTAGTTCAATGAACTTCAGATTTTGCATATTGTGCAAAACAGAATTTTACTATGGCTAAAACTGCATATATTTATTTATTGGAACACAGAGAAGCATTACGACTATACTAAATAATTCATAAAATATTGTACTGTTTCAATATACATACATGCATGTAGAGGCATTCCATTTTTTGCATAGGTATGTACATACATTTGTACGAGTAGATTTAATTCTAGGTTCATTGATATGCAATTATAACCGACTGGCTAAAGGGCCTTCATTGACAAATGTAACCGCTTTTAACGTGAGCTGGCGAGCTTTTTATTACAGCTGCCCCACCTGGTGTATTTGAAATAGACTTCTGTAATTACGTCAGATCATTTAACAAGAATAAAATGAAATGAAAAGTCAACGTTCCTACTCTTGATGCTTCTCAAGTGACGAAACAGTACATGGACGTTATGTCGGATGACTACTGATTAGTCTCAGCGGAGGTTAGCGGAGTATACAATTATTACGGGGTATACAATATTGGTACAGTGCTCTGCTTTGATAGATAGCACCAGCGACAGACTGCTTTCTGCATGCTGCACGACAATCAAATGCGAAGCTCCAGCCAGAGATAGATGCAAACATGCCTACTCATAAAACAGTCGAATTGCTGAATCATTCGCTTTATGATTGGCACAAACACAGTTTGTGCTAATATATTTCGTTGTCTCATTACCATATTATATAAGTAAACGTATTAGGCTTGGCGCTTGACTTAATTTAAACACCGTTTGAATATATTAAATGTAAATACACTCGTACATACAGTACGAGTACTAGGAGAAAACCCTCGAATTGAAATTTAAATATGCTAATATACAAATTTTTAAATAGGTGCCGGCCACAAGCAAGTGTAGGCCCAGCCACCTGGCTCGAGCAAAATAACGCTTGCATTTTTAGTCATTATTTGTTGATCGATCAGAGACTGCTCTAATTAACCTGTTTTCTAAATGCTGATGTAATTTGTGGTGGCTATTGCACTGGGTCAAATAGATGCAGGCACCTCGATATATATGTGTACATACATATGAATATGTTGATTAGTTAGAGTTAATAGTGTTGCATCGTTCCTGTATGCGTCATGGGTACGCCTGCACTATGTTAACTAACCGTGATATCGTTACACTTTGTGCCTGCTAGATTAGCTGACAAATTTATTTCGGAGCCTGATAAGTGACTATGGTGTGCCAAAACGCGTTTATGATAGCGTGGATGGGTTCGGGTGTACTGAATCGATCGCCTGCCATTCTGTGCGCACCTGTTGAGTTTATTATACCACCAAATGGCTTGTTGCAAAGCGATAAGATTATTCAACGTATAGACATAAATTACCCCTCAACCCCGTAGCCGCTGTTTGGGTTTTTGTGCTTGTTTTTAATCTTCTAAGTACGCTCGCACCCAGGTGACTAATGGGTCAACCCACTCTGCACTCCTTTTGCACTGGTAACCCGATTCCCAACCAGATATAAGAATACTTGGCATTTGACAGTCAGATTGGTATATTTACTGATTTTATGGCACTTATGTTAATATTTATATATAACGTACATATGTACATACATATGTATTTACATATTTACCTATAACAATGAGATTACAATTTGGCCGTAAAAGACTATTTCAGGTGTTCAGCTTAGTGGATATTTACTTATATTTACATATTGTTCTGCTCTTGAATAATTATGTACAAGTATAAATGGTATAGTTATTTGTATAAATTTAGTAACTTTTTAGGAATTTGCCGCTTTGATGCGAAATCGGCTATATTTAAGAGTATCGGTACATATGTATGTACATACATACATATGTATATATATAGTTACAATGTAGTTAGGCATACAAACATACTATATGTGTGCACGTGTGTGGGTAAAAATTATTGTCTTGCTTAATATTTGTACTGCCAAGAACGTAGAGCTGTTTCGACTTTCGTATAGTTTATTAAAAACGCGACATTAAATTAGGATCACATCGCTGGTCTTAGAATCTAAAATATCAATTATGGCATAAGTATACATAAATATGTACATGTATGAGTATGTACGCATACACTAAAATATGTATATAACGCGCCTTGTTTATTTACCCTCTACTTAAAAATTAGCTGGTGTGTTCATCTCTATAAACAAAGCTTTGAAAACTTGTAAAGCTATTTTGCCACTTGTGACCCAAACTATACCTAAAACCTACAGCGTGTGGTTAAAAGTGCAGTATGTCAAACTGACCCACAATCAAACACACGCGACTAACAGTAACATGAGCAGTAATCAGTCCCAATAAAAGTCTTTCAGAGTTGGTGAATGGACTGAACTATACCGATTTACTCGTCTTTTTTGCGCTTCACCTTTCCTTCCGTTTGAATAGTTGATGTGACGGCCTCGATGCAATCGGCTATGGATGGCTCCGATTGATCAGCGCTGTAATCCTGACCAGCCATACGGCTGAGGGTAAGTATATAGGAACAAGCTACCCGCAGCACAGACAGCTTGGATAGTTTTTGGGTGCTGGCGTAGGCCGGAACCGCGTGTCGTAGCGTCTCATAAGCGGCAGAAATAGTGTGCACTCGGGTCCGCTCCCGTGCATTCGCCTCGATGCGGCGCTCCCGCGTCATGTTTTTATAATTGCGTTGGTGCGAGTGCGGACGCAACGTGGAAATATCAGATCCCGACCCAACCTTACACATGTCCTCATCGCTAAGATTTACGTCAATCAATGACGTAGCAATTGCTTCTTTCGCTATTTTTTTGTGCAATGTCTTTTTTGAAGTTTGGGGTGCTCTGTTCTGAAGTGTGGAGTAAGCCCCGGTTTTTGTGTCTCCTTCAATGAGCTGTGGTTTCTTTGTCACCAATGCTAGGGGTTCTTGCTGTTCTGGATGTGAAGCGAACGTCCGATGCAGAGTAGTGACGCCTGGGTGACGAACAAATATATGAGCCGGATTAGGCATTCTCTCGTGCTCCAAGCGCAACGTGGAGGGCACACACCTGCTGGGTGGCGGAGAGTCAATGGCTGGAGGTGTCAACACCACTGCTGAATCAGCAGAAGATGTATAGCGTATGCGTTTCTTGAGCGGACCAGTTGCAGTACTACTCGCACAGGCGGTAGGACAAGCGTTGGCTGGTCCAGACGTGGTTGTCATCGATCCCACAACTTTCGAGGGCTCCGTGCTCTTGCGTTTGTTGCGGATTAATGCTATGGGCTTTGAGTCCGCCGCTCCAAAATTTTCAGTTCCTTTTGGCCCGATGTTGGGACTGCCACTGCGCGTGTGCTCGACGGATAAATCATCACCGCCTTCGCTTTCCGAGCTGGCGGAACAAAAACCCGCATCACGGTCGTTTGAATTGGGTGAATCTAAAAATAAACGAAAATGTTTAAAGATAGTTGTCTTCTATTTGTGACGTATTTATGCTAAACCGGTTGCTTAAGGTAAGGCTTGGCAAATAAAAAAAAAATCCCCTTTTTCGCGGAACACATGCCGAATGGGGCATTCGAAGCCCCTAGAGGTTATTTGGAACAACACCCAAAAAATCTCTATTTCCATGCTTTGTAATCAAACGGCCATTTATATTGTTGTGTAAAGGATTTAATTTGTGGCATTTAACTGTTAACTTTTATTTGGGTCGGTAAGTACAAAAATTTGTACTTACATACATATGTACATATGTATGTGTATGGCGAAAAAAGCCCGAAAATGCAAATCAAATTTTTCATTGCTCACGAAAATGAAACCTGTTTCCAGTTCCGTCGGTCTACCACTGACCTCCACAGGTATTTAAAAAGCGTTTAGGCACAGCTCACTTGTTAAAAGTAATTTATTTCGCGTCTGGCGAATAAAGTCAGTTCAAGTTCAGCAGCAGCAGCAGCCCCTGCATCAGGAGCCAACAACCCGCTTAGTAATTAATAAAACAAAAACACTCAAAAATACAAGTAAATACTTGCAAGTAAAACTGCAAGTGTGCGAGTGAAATGCAAATCAATGGAATTCGGCAGGCAGGATATTATTAATTTTTCTTATCGCCAACATCCATTATGAGTATACGTAAGTTCTACCCAAGAACACAATAAATGTGCAGCTGTTACTTTATTGAACCAAATTGTGTGCTTTTCCGCTCCAAAATATTTCTATAATACATCTGGCCAATGAGATATGTATGTATTATTACCCCACTTTTGTTCCTCATGCGTACTCGAGCATATGATCGCATTTTAGCACCTATGTACATACAGATGTATTAACTTTTACTAAGTATACCGTTTATCTGAGTCGAGCCAGACATGTATGAACACGACGGAAGGTATGATTTTGCATGTTGACACAACTATTTATAAGCAAATTACTTTGCTATCTTTTCTAATTTTAGACACACAAACAACATACGAAATTTAAAGCAACTGACTGACATTGCAGCGACGAAATCAGGCTGTACAAATAACAGCAGTTTTCATATTCAGGATTGTATTTCTTATTCAGACAAATGTTTGCTTAAAGCCAACGTCGTCAATGGAGTCGCATAAGCCAAAACACCTGTGCACGTCGTACATACATACAAACATATGTATGTACATACATAACATCACAGTTATAGGTAAGTTTTCGATTGTGGCGCCAATCTCAACTAAATTTCTGACAATTCACAATTCCGATTCAATCCCCATTCTTTGGGACAAAGATGTTCGTTGCGTTACATATTATGATACAAAGTCAGCTCGGTTTTTTTTTTGCATGTATCTAATGCGTTTTTCGATCGTAAACCCAATCTTGGCGTTTTTGCATTAAAATTGGTAGCCGTTTGGACGTTATTGGCCTTTCTTTCCAAGAATGAATGCCCTGCCGTGAAAATCAGCTAAAACCTACTTAAAAGAGGCAGACACTAACTGTCAGAGGCATCAGAAAATCCCATATTCACGCCAAAAGTCAGCCAAAGGTTATCATCATAGGCGGCTTTTGGCTGACGGTCGGTCCACTGGGAAGCGTTCCATGGGAAGTCTGAGCTTATCAACATACAGACATACATATTTACATACATACATATGTACGTGCATATAAATATCTATAAATTTATAGATGAGACGTATAAGTATGTACATATGTTAATACGACTAAACGGTGTACGAGTATTGTAGTAAAATGACGCGTCATTTTTATGAATGAAACACAACAACACAGTAATAAATGGTGCATTATGATCGCTTAATTACCCAGGGACTCTTGTTCACAGCCTTTTTGTAGCACTATTGGACCCATCTGTGGATTATTTTGGTACAAGAGACTTCATTTGGTGAATGCAACGCTCAAGTAGCTACTATACATGTATTTATGTATGTATGTATGTACAGACGATTTACATTGTTGGTAATTCCCACTACTCCAAACATCCTTAATATCCGTAATAAAATCTTAATTTTATGTGGCTTTCTGCAGGGAGAAAATAGCATTGTGCTTGATTTTCTGCAGCTATAACTTTGAATTGTCCTTACAGAAGCTATCCTAGTCAGAAGCAGTGGTGAATCTATGTGGACTTTCTCGAGGCCAACTGTCCTCAAACCCTGTCACACACAAATTGCCAATATGTCTGGCGACGTCCCACAGTGGGGCCTTCGGGCATTTCAGCTTGCTAAATTAATAGCTTCTGAACGAATCAAGATGTCTCCATGAAAAAACCGCATTTGAAATGGAAATCTTTCAAAATATAGTCTACATGAGAAAAAGGGTGCTACAGCGTTCACAAAATTCTTCCACTTTTGCCACCCTCTTTCGGTTGAGGCCCCACTGTGCCGTCGTCCTCAATTCACTAGAGCGGGCAGGGCAGAGTGCCTGTTTGACATATGCGTCACAAAACCCAGGCAGACATACGGCGGCGACAAATAGTTGGCGATGTTTACGTCTGTCTGTATCTCAATTGCCTGCCACCCTCAAAGGACAGCTTCCCTTTTGTGATTACGCTACTAGTGTGGTTGGGATTGGAGACCTCTGGAGGGCGTAGCACATTCCCCATAAAGTATATCTGTCATCAGTTAGCCACAGCTTGTTCGATTTTCATTTGGAGTTTTTGCACAGCTGGTTTTTTAACTACTTTCCTCATCTGGTAATGTTTCTATTACAGAGATTTAATTTCAGTTCAGAATAAAAAAATTGGCTGTGGAGTTGCTGACTCAGTATCGGACTAATAATCTCCATTGCTGTACTCTTCGACCGCCCTTAGATTTTTCTGTGACTTATGAAAATATAGTCCAAGAAACATAACTACCAGTCGCGGTACATATGTACATATGTATATATGTATGTACTTATGTACGTATGGAAGATTTAAGTGTATGCTTAAATTGTGAAATTGTAAATTTTGCCGGCAACAGGTGGCTTCAGCGATTACGTGCGTTCTTACCTTTCATAATGATGGCTGCTAGTTCCGCTGCACTTAATTGCATGAAGAGTTTGTCAGGCTGGGCAACATCCATAGTCGCAATGACTTAAATTCACAACCTTGCTTGAAGGGAGCGCGTAATCCAAAAAACGGGCCTAGTCGGTTGCTTTTTAACGATGTTTATCCCCGCTTAGTATTTTGAATTTCAATAACTGATACGATATCAACGGAAACTAATTGACATCTCTCTTTTATTGACACTTTGCTTTAAATTATATAAGGCTTAGTATTGTTCATAAGTTACAGCCCTTGGTACAGAATTATTTTGAACTTTTAACAAATTATTAGCTGTTTGATTTTCAAATTTTCAAGAGTACTGTTAAACGTAGGCCGTTAACAACGAAGTAGAGGTTGTGGAATTAAATATTTTTTTATTTGTTGGCGAAAATATCAATATCCAAAAATTAACCTTCTGCGGCAAGTAAAAATCCACAAATTCGAAGAGAATTAACAAACACGCGTCGCACGTTCGAACTCAACGGAGGCGCGTTGAAATTTGGCGTTGAATGGGCGGTAAACATTGTGACGGCAGAACCATCATATACCAGTGGTTCACTTCGCCTTGGTTCATGGTTCCTGAACAAGTTCACCTTAACCCACTTAAGCCACCTTAAAAAAACTGTCGTTGAAACAGACGAGCGACTAGTGTAAAGCCACTGAAAATAATATTGTTTGTAAATTCATCTTTGTGTATATCCATCCTATGCTTTCTCCTTACATACAAAAAAAACATTGCCTCAATATCTTTTAGCTAAAATGCGTTAAAATTCTTCAAGTTTCATCATTTTCGTGGGATCGTCCCCACTGGTCGACAATGAGTTAATCGTTTGTCGTCTTTCAAATGTTGGTGGGGAACTAAAAATGTTATCCGGAAGACGTGAAATGAAGTTGATTATAAAATCAAAATTCTACCTACTGTTTCACCAGCGCGGGGGATAACATTGCCACTCAACCACCCCCAAAGCCCCAAGGAGAGGCATTCTGTGAAGCTGAATATTACGCAGATGTGCCCATAGTCTGTTACGTCTGGTATTATATTTCCATGGCTGACGCAGCTTCTGTCATTGTCAGGATATCCCCAAAAACCGTTTCACTTATTATCAGTTTCACCAGCAAGGCGTTTGCGCAGTAGGAGCCATATGCGTCATATATTTACATATGTACATGTTCTGCTTTTGATGGGAACGTGTCGTAGACCATGATTACTATGACGTCGCTGACAATGGCTGCAAATTATTAAATTTGTGTTTACGAGTGTGATGCAATGCCAACTTTTAGAAGCTTACGTTACACATTGCCCCACCGTTAAAATCCCCCCCTACATACATGTACATGTACATACATACATATTTAAATGTTGATTAAATAACAAGGATTCTAATTTTCTGTGGATTTTGTGGAATTTCATCGAGAGGCAGCCTGCACTTAGTGTCATGCGACATGGTCAAGGCTCCAAAGCTCCCCGACTATTCATTAACATTTTTCCGGTGCCAATAAACGAGTTGCAACAACACGGCAGAGGTGGCATACTCAAAAAAAAAAAGAAGAAAAAACAGCTACATCGGTCGGTCTTCAGTGGCGACAATATTCCCATAGCTTTGGCCACACGTGATAGGTGCTGCAGCCCAGTACATGCAACAAGTCAAGCATATTGCATGTGTGGTGTGTTGGTGTCTGGATTGGGATTGGCGGCGTTTGTGGTTTTAATTTACGAGCTGAGCTCTAAAAAAAATGAAACTGGGTAGCCTCATTTGCAGATTTAAGATCTGAAATGGCGTCATCGATAGCACGGGCTTTTTTCCTCTGAGAGTGTCAATGTTCGTGATTGAGTTAGCGTGTGTTGGAGTAGAGTATGTACTATAACTCAATATCTATACCATTATCCTTTTCCAAATGCATATACTTATGTACATATGTATATACATACATATATACCGAGCTTTGTGTGCTCTATGCGCATTGGGTATTAAAGGAAATAATTCTAGGAAAAAGTTTAAATTTCGCATGATCATGCCTTCGATTCGTCTTACGCGGCGCAGAACAAAACCTGCCGCGGAAACGAGGGCCAGAACCACTAATATAATATCGTTAGGGTTCCTTGTGTCTGCTATCCCGTGAGCTCTCAGCAGATGTACGTTGGGCACGAGTTTGTTGCTGTCGCGCAGAATACTTTTTGAATGATGACTTTCGTTTTTTAGGGACTTGTTCTGCTTTATAAGAATGCGATTGGACGGACGGACGGCTGGCTAACCTGTTTTCTTGAGCTGGACAGGAGGCTCCAGCTCCAGCCGCCGGAGTGGCAACTAAACAGCCACCGTTACCGTCGCTGAGGTCGCGATAAAGTTTTTTAGTCGTTTTCTTTTGTCAAGCAGGAGGTTCAAGGATAAGGACCGCTGGACTTCCAAAAGTGGTTTGTGTACGTGTCGGCGAAATTTGATCGTCTCTTGAAAATCAAGAATTTTTTTGCGTGCCCCAGCTAGAATTACTAAAGAATTATTTGGGTAACTTTTTTATGGAATTAGCTAAAGTTGCACTTATTGATTTGGCTTCTGTTCGCAACAACGTCCATATTGGCTTCCATACCCATACCCATACACACTCTGAAAACTAAGTATATAGTACAATCGCCTTTAAATTTAAAGGCAAACGCTTCTGGGGAAAATCAATATGTGCCTTTATAAATATACTGATGTATGGACATACATACATATGTAAATATGCATATAAAAATAAAATCAAGCAATTACCTACCACCATAAAAGTAGACAATTATTCGTATGCCGCTACCTGTGCAGATTCTGCATGGCGCTATCTTCGTGTGCTAATTGTTTTCAGTCTGCAGGGACTAATTTCCGGCCTCTGCCACTAGTTCAACTGACCCGCGCACGATTGATAGATTTCGGGAATGGAATTACCCACCCAAGCCATTTTGATGCCAGGTAGCACTGACTTCTCGGAATTGTTATACTTAATGCCTAATGTCAGTTTTACCTAGATGGTTCTATTTTTAAAAAGACACACAGATGAATTTTGAGGATCTATTTCACCCCTTTTTCATACTGTACATTCCATCCAAATATTGGTATGTAAACGGTCCTGTATGCAACTAGCCCAAGCCGGTGTCCAGTTATCTGTTATCACTTTGGGGGCTGCCACACCCAATCTTAATACCAATTTCCCATACGTTCTCATAATTTGCACATGTTTGTGAATGTGACGTCACGGTTGGAACTGTTCTATCTTTCTTGTTACGTTCAGCATTAAGGGTTATGTGCCGCAATCAACAGCAATTCAACCGACCACCAGGCTGCCCTGTCACGTGGATGTGGTATTTGCGCACCCGCTTTCCCCCTACACGTTATTCAGCGCTTCATCTTGTTTGTTCGTCATTTGGGGAAACAGTTAAGCCAAGGCTATCCTTTAGTTGAAGCCAGATTATCGCGGAAGTAAATTCAAAAGTGTCTGTTACACCATTTAAAGCAAAAACTAGGCCCAACCTCCGTTAGTCTGTTCAACATCTTTGTTGTTTTTGTGGTTCATTGTCAATTCATAAGGCCGACACACAGTGTTCTCGGCAGTGTGAAAGGATTGCTTAAAACAGCAGACTTCAATTTATTTACAGAAGTAAAGTTCTGAGCCACATGGCACATCCAATCCAGGAACACATGGACGGCCACTGCCTGGTCTCGGGGGGGCACGACACAGCACTTGAGTCGTACTGTGCCAACACATGTGCTCGCTCTGCCCCGCCCTGCGACCTTCAGCGGCGTCAGTCTGATTTGCGATTTTTCATGGAAACTGCACTGTCGGCGACTAATGGCACATATGGTGACCAGAAAGGGAAGGAAAGGAACGTACACATCCTTAAATGCAAAATGTGTGAAATTTGCGCCCAGACGCGCTCAGACTGGCGACATAGTGTCTTCTCACATGACTTTTTCCATGCTGTAAGAGCAATTGCGTGGGAATTTATTTGGGAAATTTTTTGTATATGCCTGGGAAATAATGGGTATGCGCACATCTGGTCTAAGCTGAGAGCTCCTGCCTAACCAAAATAGTGTGAAACAGCAGGTGATTAAGGTGAACCACACCAGTCAGGGAAATAAATTGAGTCTGGCTAATTTCAGCTCCAGGAACCGAACACTGCTCAATCAAATATTTAAATATATCCGACGCTTGTTTGGATCTAGAGGGCGGCTATAGAAATTTGGTCCAGGAGCAGGGCAAAGCAAAGCTCCTTTAAAACGTGACAGCCGCAAGCCAAACGTGGCATCGACATCGGCAATCAAATTGCATGCGTGCGTGCAATCATACCCATAAAACACAATTAGATACTAAAATTTACGCTATTAATGTCAAAAAGTTCAAAATCAGGGCTGCTGGCGGGACAGATTGCAGACAACCCCCACAACTGCAATTTGTGAAGGTTTTTGCACGCAATAAGAATAAGCCAAAAGAACTTTTAATGAGTCCAGAAAACGAAATCGCAACAATTTCCCACGCTTCTTGGTACGAGAAACACCCGCAAGCGCATCAGCAAAAATGTAAGCAACGCGTTTGCATCTTCATGCAGTCCCCACGCAGCTCCCCCGACTGACACTGTGCGCCCCCCAGTCACATACTGGTGCATGCAGACTTCTTTGTGTATAGGAAATTACACAGAAGCAATACGGCAGCAGAAAATTGTTAATATGAAAATCGAGATCGCTCTGGGCAGAAGTGCCATCAGGCCACAGCCCCAAAACGAGGGTAGAGAGGATAAGTTACTCAACAGAATGTCTTGGCATGTGGTGGTATTGGTACTGCATTTGCCTCGAATCTGTCTATTTATACTGTGCTCGTTTATAGTATTGGGCCACACTTGGCTTGCGCTCTCAGTATCACTCATGCTGAGTTCCGCATAGGCGCTATCAAAACACATGAGACGCCCTAATAACTAGGACTAAGAGGCGATTTGGCTATCCGACGGATCAACGACTTTTTTAAATCGCTTACAGGCGAAAAAGTTAGTCGCCAAAGCAAGTTTGACTGAAATTCAAAACTATACTCACGCAGAATACCTCAGGAAAGACACAAAATTTTGAGATGTTAGGGTTTTGTGGTACCTGTCTTCATGTTGGCCTTTAGCTGCACTTCCTGCTATTAACCGTTCGTATCTGGACATTGTCAGATATCCTTGTCATAAAATGGCATTGTTCATTTGCCTTTTGTTATATAGGATTTTTCATTTTTGCAGTCAACACACAAAGAGCCAGACAGAAGACGATTTTGTTAATTTTTGACTGGCGCCAGACGCACAGCTGGCTGCCGTGGCCTCGGACTATGTATGCTGTGTCATAAATGCAATGCAAATAAGTAAGTAAAATAACCACCGACACCGGTCCATTGGTGGTGGCATCCACTATGTCGACCAGATGCCTTGCGTTGTCGCGCGCTGACGTTGACACATGCCACACAGCGTATGGCGATCGACACGGACTATTGGCCGCTCATTTGCCAACGTTGGGGCATTCTCGCCACTTCCACTTGTCGGCGTCGCATCAACATCAACTGGTTTGAATTCTTCATTTGCGTGCTGAACACATCTGTTGCAAAGTTTATGCGACCGAAGCTCGCAAATTTCACAAATCATGAGTTTCAAAACTTGCGTTTAATAGGCATTCACAATTTCATCGAAAACTGTTTTCTGTAAGCTATACATTTTATTGCAACAATCAGATTGAAGGTTTTTGCAGATCCCACCTAATCATGCGTGAGCTATCCATTTTTAATGCGATTTGAGAATTAAAGGCACCCTCCCGTATACCCACAGATATAGACTGCACATGCCCAAACACATATGTAAGTTATATGCATATGTACATACATATGTACAAACATATATACTTATGTGCGTATCCATGTTTGCACGGCAAGTCTGTCGCTATTACTTTGAGTGTTCGGGACACAGCCGGCTTGAGTTCTTTTGAGGACGCCTTGTCATGGAAAGGTGCAGACCAACTGCCTCTGCGGCTGATGATATGCTGGCGGGCATCGACTGTTGATCGGCGTTGTCGTGCCTAAATTAATAACTGCTACGTGCGGTTGGGCCTTTCAGGTGCTTTTGGAAAGTTCATTCCGTAAGACAGAGTATCAGCAGCAGGTAAAATGACCCTGACGATGGAGCCAAGAGCTGAACATTTCCTCGAAAATAAAATGCAAAATTTATTGAAAGCGATGCAGCTGATACATTACAATAAATTGCCAACACTCTAACAATAAGAAATAAATGTACATACATACATATAAATACATACATACTTAGTTGCAATGTTAAAGTATTGATTGGATTAGTTGTGGTTCCTTGCGAACGCCCAGTCGAAAGGGCTCGGTCGAGAGTTTATGGTCCCATGTTACCGCTCAGCAGGAACCTTCTAATCCCGGCGCTGACCCACGCACATTTCCTAGTGCTAGTGTAGTCACCACGGACCCAAACCCCTTAGCATGATTTCGATTTTCTGGAAAAATTGGTTGCAATCATAAATGCTGTTGCATATGAATATATTATTTTTTACCCTGATCCAATGTCGTTGGGTTGGGTTAGTCAAGTCATGACCGTGGTAGTAATTTCAGTTCTTCGTCAAACATTGCCTTTAGTTTATCTGGCTACAGCTTACCGCCGTCAATATAAATTGTCTTATATAAACAATATTATCTATATATATATAGTAAAATGCCAGTTAAATTGCATCTCCGTTTTTTCGGTTAATCTGACCCATTCTTCCATATTCTTATTTCAACCCGTCTGGCACGCGGCAATCAATCAAGTATGAACACCTCGAAAGGTGCCAGACATTCATTAATATGGTTTAAAGATTAATATGAGTATAATAAAAATAGCACAATTTTGAAGATACAAATAGTTTACTATGATTTAATTAGCACATTGCTTTAACGTTTACTTGGCAAGACTAAAATACATTTCAAGTTAACACTTTAACCTGCCAAAAATAGCTGAAATCTGAAGTGTGCAAAAAATTAAAATATATGGATGTACTAATAATCTTAACAGTATGTACTAATTAAAATATTAACCATATTTATTTTTCCATTCCATTATTTTTTATATCTTGATTTAAACATTAGAAAAAACATAGGCCACGTGTTGCAGTCTTTTCTAACTGCTTTCAGTACATTAAGGCATCCAAACAAAAATCTAATCTTCGACTACATATAACAGGAAAAAAACCCGATTAAATATGTACATCTGTACATATATGATGTATACATTTACAACAACATTTTCATCCGAAATATTTACCGGGTATAGCGTAGGCGAGCAGTCCCAAGTGTAAAACTAGTTGCTGATACTACTCTGCACACGAAGAAAGTTGGCGCCAGCCGTGAAAAAAATGTAGACAATTAGAAAAGCATTTTGGCTTTGCTTCTTCGGGCCGATTCATTGAGTTGTTTATGTATGCATACATACATACATATGAAACGGTCGCGGCGCGAGTCTGTATGCAACATCTTGTTAGAATGTCACTAATTGGACTTTGTACCCAGCGGCCGACTTTTTGGCAACGTTTTGATGCTGGCGCATAGTGGCATCTGTCGTTCAAGTATCTTTGGTTTCTGGCACAAAAGTTCAAAACGTATAGCGGAGGCGTCAGCATCCCAGGCTTCGTTGTCAGCCCAACAATGTTATAGAGCTGCGAACTTTGACGATATACATTTGCTATTAAATCTACACACATATAACAACTAAAAAACCAAAGTATTGTATTTGGAATTGCATATGTTGAGCATTCGCGGTTTATTTACCTAAATTTATTTTTAGTTGGAAGACAAGGAACATATTTATGTCTTCGCTCTAAATGCCCCTAGACGTTAACGGCCAATAAGGCGCAACCCTGGGTTAAAAAGCACATAAACAAAATTGGCGGCATCGCAGCTGGCCATGTCTTCATATATAATATGTATTACATATGTATGTATGGGTGTATGGAAATTATCGCTCACAGTTTGTCATAATTTGTCGTCAGCGGAAAATGCTCTCAGTGTTGTCCACATTGCAAGCCGGTCGCGGCCAAGGTGCGTCAACACAAAAGAAAATTTGTGGTTGAAACAAACTCGATTTTTTTTTTTTACTAATTAACTAAATGTGTTAATACAAAAACATTTAAACACTTTTTAGGATATCCTTTTTTTTTCTTTTAAATGAATCCCAATTATTTCATTACCAACGATCTTGTTTTTCAGAGCTTTTTTTTGAGTGTACATACATATGTATGTACATGTACACATATAGCAATGGATTAACGTTCAAGTAATACATATTTATGCATTTTAAATGTTTAAGAATTCATTAAGATTGTCGCCACCCCAATTTAAAACTCGTGAATGTATTTTATGTGGCAGATTACTTAATTTGCGCGGCGCCTTACTTGTCTATAACTCTGGAATCGCAGTAAAGGGAGGGTTAGCTGTGTGTACACGTGAGTGCATGGTAGAAGTAAGATCGACTTGGCAAATAAAATCCACCACGAAATTATTAACAGGGTCTCGTTGACAGATAAAAGAGAGGAATTTTGGTCCAGGCGGAATCCAACTCACACTATAATTTGTGCGACACCCACATCAAAAGCACAACTGTCTCCCAGAGACAAACATGCCACTGCTGCATAGCACACCGGCTGGCATGTTGCAGCTCGTAAAAACATAGCGCATTTCAGGCGCGTCGGAATGTGCTTGGCGTGTTCTAAATCTATAAAAAAAATCCCGCCAAAGCCAATGCAGCTGTTGCTTGTGGGTGAAAGTGAAAACTTGCGGCACATGCCGTTTGGCCGGAAGCGCATGAAAATTGAAATAAAGTGCCATGTGGCGTCGTACTGCATTAAGTGAGTCGGCATAAAAACCAGAAACAAAACATTCTCTCTGTGGCACAATCCTGGCTTCTGTATTACTACGAAATCGGTACCAAAATATTTCTGCGTAAAACGATTTGCTCTACAAGCGGAAATTCTAAATTAAAGTTAGACATATAGCAGATATTTTTTAACACAATCTCAAAGTCGATCTTCTCGTAAAATTGACAAAGAAGGGTGGTAGAAGGTAGTTCAAGCGGACGCGTTATCTGAACGTGCAATACCTGACACGGGATCAACTTGCACATCAGCTGTAGTCGCCCCTCGTCGCCAGTTCTAGCGATTTCCGAGTAGCCCATAGCTGAAATCCTTCAGGAAGATAACTGGCATGAGCTTGACCGGCTGGGGCACATTCCAGCTGGCGCCGTACCACACAGCTTTATCAGCAGAATCCTCACGGTGCTGCCATTCGTAAAGCTGATCAGTTGTCGCTCCTGGGCAGGGCAACCCCTCGGTTATCTTCAAAGAACAAACAAAGGTGCTGACTGCTGTATCTGATCATCCACGTCGTCCAGCTCCTCGACCGTAAAGATATGAAAGTCCCGTATAATCAACTGCGGTGGCTGTGCATGTGGATACACTAGATGAGGAAATTCTTGAAGGTTGACAGTAGTCGAGCTCGCGATACTTCTCAAGCTGCCAAATATGCAGCCCCATTCGAAGAAGTTGATCACCATATTTAGCCCTTAGAGATGGCGCCAACAAAGTCCAGCTAAACTGGCTTTGACTGAAAATCAAGCGAAAGGATTATGTGGCTTTATAGTGTAAATTTATTAAAGCAGCGCCGTGCCTTGACTTGATAATAGCTTTAAAATCATCCAAAGGACATTACATAAAATGTCTTTCCTTCAGACTAGATTTGGTATATTATGAAAATGAGAAGGTGTATTTTGGTATATTTGTGAGGGTCAGGCGGTATATTTTATGGATAGATCCGCAGTCACACTGATTTTCATCAGAATTTATTTTTAAAATAAATAAATTAATTAATTGAATACACTTAGCGGTATTTCAGTTTTAATTGAACAAGCAAAATGTCGAACGCACAGCGGTCGTTTGTGCAAAAAGTATCAAAGTAAGTGAGCAATTCGCAGATTAAAGCAACAAACCAAGAAACGCCCAATAATTCCCAACTACACTACCCCCATTTTTGTTTGCTCCACTCCAGACAGCCTGCTGCAGATGTTCGTAAAAATGTTTGTAATTACCACATGCAATCAAAGTCGGCAGACACATCTCTGTGCTCATCCGCAGTAAGTTTTATTTCTTAAATAATCGATGTACATAATGTTCTGCTTGTTTACTTTCTGATGTTCCATTTTTCGCAATAGCTATCTCCGACAGATCCGCTTGACTATGAGGAATTCCTCGCACAACATATGAACATTATCAACCGCGATCCATTGAAGCACATCTTGGATTTTCCTCAAAGCGATGTGACTGTGAAAACCATTCCTCGCAAAATTCGAACGATTGATCACATTACGCCAAATGAAAAAATGTACGTTGTGCGTTTAATTTTAACTGCTAGCTAGTACCTACAGATATCTTTACAGAATTGATTTGCCACAACACGTGCAGGAGTGTGTGAACTGCTATACCCGTCCATGGAAGGTGGCAGAATATGCTCAAAGGCACTACTCAAGTTCGTGTTACATACGTGATCGGGGCACCATAAGTCCCTCTGCATACCAGCAAGAGTTCGAGATAGACAAAGACTTTACATCTTTTGATGAAACATTTGCGTACAAAAGCGAAAGCTGCACACCCAGCTCCAGGCAATCGATAGCTAGCCTTGCTTCTTCAGTTAGCTCATGCACGGACACTCTGACGCCTCGTGGCTCGTGGGCAAGTTTTGATTTGCGTCGTTCTGTTAATGATCCTCTAATACCGAACCTGCTTAATAATGTACCGCCCGAACAAATCGATCAAACCAATGAAGTACGTCGCCAGCAAGATCGACAGATTGCTCTTTTTTCACTGTACCCGGAATCCGAAGCAGAGGAGAGCATTGAACGCAGACTACTTGCTGAGATTCCGATGGAACATATGGGTCACCGCATACAGGTCAAATGTGTGCAGCTTCGACTCGAGCTCGAAGTAGAGCCAATTTTTGCTTCTATGGCTATATATGATGCCAAGGAACGTCAAAAACTATCAGAGAATTTTTACTTTGACATGAACTCAGACAGCCTCAAACGAATGTTGTCCAGTCACGTCCAATGCCCTGACATAAGCACCCAAAGCCACTCGGGAATATTTGAAATTTCTTACCCGAGCAATGATTTGTTTTTGGTTATTCGTCTAGAGAAGGTCCTGCAGGGGGATATCAACAATTCCGTTGAACCTTACTTAAAGGAAGACAAAGATAAGTACCGTGAAAAGGTAAAATCAAATGCTGCAGACTATTGTGAGCGCTTGGGCAAATACCGAATGCCATTTGCTTGGACTGGCATCTATTTAACAAACGTCTTCAATGGTGATAATTTTGAGCACAAGGACGTTAGCGGAGGAGATCGTGATTCGGCTGGCAGCGGAAACGCTGCTGGCGGCTTAGGCACGGCACCTAGTTCCAACAGCTTAGATCGAAAGTCATCCACGAGTAGCTTTGATCAACTAAGACGCAAAGCAAATGACATGAGCGGAACACTTACTCGGCGTGGTTCTCTAGAGCGAAAGGAGAAGCGACGTTCATGGTCGCCAGATGATTTTGCGAATGTAGTTGAAAACTTTCGACCCATTACGATAACGGTTCCGAGCTTCTTTAAGCAAGAGGCAGATAAAATGAAGGATGAAGATTTATATAAAATTTTACCGGAGCTTAAACGACCGAGCTCAGTGATGAAAAAATACAAATGCATTCCAGGTTCGATTAAACTGGAAATATCTCCATGTATTGAGGAACCCAAAAACTCGCTAACGCCAGAGTTGGCTAAAATAAACCCGCAAAGTGGAGAAAATATTCGACCAATCAAGGAAATTCTAGAGTTCCCGCAATCAGCCATATACAATCCACACTACAGCTATCGTAACTTACTTTTCGTCTCGCCAAAGGAGCTAAATTTCTCTTCGCGCGCTGGCTCAGCACGAAATATAGCCGTTCGTGTTCAACTAATGGCTGGCGAGACCTCAAAAGATGCAGTTAATGCTATTTTTGGCAAATCATCTTGCCCAAAATTTTCCTCTGAAGCATTTACGGCAGTAAATTATCATAATAAATGTCCGTCTTTCTATGATGAGATTAAGATAGCTTTACCTGCATCTATAAAGCAGCATCACCATCTACTATTTACCATTTACCATGTATCGTGCCAAAAAAAGCCACAGGATCTGCAGCCTTCCGTAGAAACCCCCATTGGATACACTTGGCTGCCCTTATTAGAGGATGGCAAACTGAAAGTTGGTGAATTCAATCTTCCTGTTATGGTGGAGACGCCACCTGAAAACTATTCTTTTATACCACCAAATGTGCACCTGCCAGGAATTAAGTGGCTTGACAATCATCGAGCCGTGTTTGCCATTAACGTGGAGGCAGTGACGGCAATACATACTTTGGATTCGTTCCTCGACCGTTTCTTCTTGTTGTGTGAATATTTGGACACTCGTAATATACCTTCCCATATCGGCGAGGGGAATATGGAGGCTGAGTTGAAGAAGTGCTTGTTGGATATCGAGAATGCAAACCGTGAGCCATTAGTAAGGCACTTACCCCTAGTTTTGGACAAGCTTATTGAATTGTTAGTTACGACCCACAAACTTGGAGGACAGACTATGTCCCTGGGGTCTACAGTCTTCGAAGTTCTTTGCTTAGTATCGTCGCTCTTGTCAATATTAAGCGATGATTTAATAGTTGATCAGTACGGACGGCAAAGTTTGTTTTCAACTTATGTGCAATTTCAATGTAAAATACCGCATCCATTTCTTAGCAAGCAGCGGCTTACCTGCAGCCGCAGCAATACCGAAGACCTGCAATTAAGCGATTCATACAGTTTATATGATAATGTTTCAACTAGTGGTCGGAGCTTGGATCGCAAAGGTAGAATAACTTTTGTGAAATAGTTTCCTATCTAACGCATTCACTTTCCTTCACAGATCTGGCTATTGATATGCTACACTCCATTGTTGGTCGCGATGTTCAAGTACGGCTGCTGCACGAAGAACTGGCCCTTCACTGGGTCGTTGCCAGCGGAAAAGCAGCTGAACTAGCCATGGCCAATTCGTGGTTTTTGTTTGAGCTTATTGTCAAGTCTATGATTGAGCATTTGCATAATTCAAATACTTTAAACGCGCCACGTAAACATCGATTTCCACACCAATATAATGACGATCTGTCAACACTGGTGCATTTAGTTACCACAAAAGTGGTTGGATATCATAGTAATGAACCGAAGTTGGCACAATCTTTGAATGCTAGCCTAAGCTTTTTCATATTTGATGTATTAAGCATCATGGACCGCGGATTTGTTTTTGGATTGATTAAAACGTACACAAAAGTGCTAATTTCCAAGAACTCTTCTATTCCAGACTTAATGAATTATAAAATAGACTTTCTGCGAATTGTATGCAGCCATGAGCACTTTGTAGCACTCAATTTGCCATTTGGGACTTCATATACGATGATTTCAGCACCGTGCAGCCCGACCCCAAGTACGACGTCGAGCAACAGTCAAACATCATGTGTAAGTGGACATTAAAACTAGCAATTACAATTCTAAACAATTTACGCCTTTTAGGGGTCGCTTGAACGAGCTCTGCAAGCAGATCTCAGTCAGGAGTTTCTACAACAGCACTTTCTTGTCGGTCTTGTTTTAAGCGATTTGGCTACAATAATGGAGGTACCCAATCCACAATTACACGGGAAAGCGATACGCTGCATTCGCAACCTAATGACTTCACATGATTTAGATACACGGTATAGCGAAACGGAAGCACGTGCCCGAGTGGCATCTCTGTACATACCACTATTATCCATAGTGATGGATAGCATTCCCCAATTGCATCAGCATTGCATTGATCATGACCGCTTACAGCAGATTGGTCAGCTTGAAGATTATCAAGGACCACAGCAAACTATCGCAGCAGCGACTATAAGTCCAGAAGTGGCATACGCAATATCTGGAAGTCGCCCCTACTACATAAGTGAACAAGTGAAAAACAAGTCTCCGTTAAGCTCTGAGAATACGCGCCACTTGTTAGTATGCTTTCTTTGGGTACTTAAGAATTTAGAGCGCAACATATTATACCGCTGGCTGCTAGGTTTAACCCCTCATAGGGTGCACCAAATGCTACAAGTGGTAAACGTGTGCCTTAAAACTTTTGAGTATACGGGAAAAAAACACATTCCGACCTTAAAGCGGACCAATACACAAAGTTTTAGAAAGAATGCATCCACTGACGTTAAGGAAAAATTGGAAGAATGTATAAGAGGTACGAATTCTGCACGCTACGATCTAATCAATCGTCGAAAAGATCGCAATTCGACCGAGAAATTCCGCTGGCGAAAGGATCTGATGCCGTACCGTTCACCCTACACCGATACTGTAGGAAAAAATGAGCACGATCTGGAGCTGAGCCACTTTATCGAAGGATCATTGGCGACTGAAATTGCGCTTGTTCTACTCGACACTCTAGAAATAATAGTGCACGTAGCTGCTAACCTCCACCATAATTTACTCGGTACTCTGCTTAAAGTGCTGCTGCACGCACTCTCCCGTAACCAGTCAACGCTGGCGCTACAAAATTTGTTTGCCTCTCAGCGTGCACTAATTTTTAAATTCCCAAACTTATTGTTTGACGAGGAAACGGATATCTGTGCGGATTTGTGTTTGATATTACTGAAGCATTGTGGATCGCTCTTGCCAGGCATACGCTCACAGTCTGCAGCCTCGTTATATTTACTAATGAGACAAAACTTTGAAATTGGAAATGTAGGTTATCTTATTTAACATGATTGTTTTCAATTAATAATTTGAATTTTGTCATTTTAGAACTTTGCTCGCGTCAAGATGCAAGTAACAATGTCGTTAAGCTCATTAGTTGGTACCAGCACAGTATTTAGCGAGCAATCACTTCGTCGAGCCCTGAAAACGGTCTTAGTTTACGCCGAGTCAGACTCCGATCTGCAGGATACATCGTTTCCAGAACAGGTGCAAGATTTGCTTTTCAATCTGCACATGATTCTATCAGATACAGTGAAAATGAAGGAATATCAGGAAGACCCTGAAATGTTGCTCGACCTCATGAATCGTATAGCCAAAGGGTACCAAAACAATCCAGACCTACGGTTGACCTGGCTAGAAAACATGGCCAAAAAGCACCGTGAACGTGCTAATCATACGGAGGCAGCCATGTGCTATGTCCACGCAGCTGCCTTGGTCTCCGAATATCTCAGCATGTTGGAGTCTCAAACTCATTTACCTGTAGGAGCAGTCAGCTTTCAACGCATATCCCCAAACACGCTTATGGAGTCTGCCGTATCGGATGATGTGCTTAGCCCTGGCGAGGATGGTATCTGCCTTGGAAATCATTTTACTGAGACTGGACTAAAGGCACTGCTAGAAGAGGCTTCCAACTCATTTCAAGTCGCTGGCATGTATGAAGCAATGAACGAAGTTTATAAGATTTTGATACCCATCTGCGAAGCGAACAGAGACTTTCTTAAACTAGGTAAAGTTCACGGAAAATTACAGGAAGCATTTAATCGAATCGCCCAGCTACAGGTAAGCCAGAAGTTTATAAACCAAAGCAAGAAATTATATATAAAACGCATTTTCTGTATTTAAACAGGGAAAGCGAGTGTTTGGTACATATTTTCGTGTGGGTTTCTATGGAGCAAAATTTGGAGATTTAGATCAACAAGAATTTATTTACAAGGAGCCGACATTAACCAAGTTGCCAGAAATATTTAGCCGACTCCAGGTTTGCAAAAAGCCAAATATTTGAACACACTTGTTTATATGATTTTATCATTTTTAGAACTTTTATACGGAACGATTTGGCCCCGACTCTGTACATATCATAAAAGACTCGAATACAGTTGACATAAACTCATTAGATGCCGAAAAGGCATATATTCAGATCACATATGTCGAACCTTATTTTGAAACATATGAAATGCGTCATCGTGAAACCTACTTTGAGAGGAACTTTAATATTAGTACGTGATTATTTTTATTTATATAATGAATATCGTATTAACACCAGTTGGTACAATTTAGAACGATTTATATATGCCACACCATTTACAAAAACTGGTAAGGCTCATGGAGAGCTGCATGAACAATGCAAGCGAAAGACAATTTTGACGACAGCCAACCACTTTCCATATGTGAAAACACGAATAATGGTCATTAGTCGGCAGCAAATAGTCTTGGAACCAATTGAAGTGGCAATTGAGGTAAGAAAACTGACGCAACGCGATTTGGGCAGCTTTTAATCACAATTTTTATTAGGATATTCAAAAGAAAACAGTGGAATTGGCGGCTGCTACAAATCAGGAGCCAGCTGATCCTAAAATATTGCAAATGGTCTTGCAAGGATGTATTGGAACGACCGTTAACCAAGGCCCTATGGAAATGGCTAGCGTTTTTCTCTCAAATTTATCTAATGGCACAACTGTACCAACGAAACATCAAAACAAATTACGATTGTGTTTTCGCGAGTTTTCAAAGCGTTGTGCTGACGCTTTGAAAAAGAATCGTAACCTAATACTTTCAGATCAAAAGGATTACCAACGTGAATTAGAACGTAACAACGATCGTTTCATAGAACGCTTGACACCTTTAATAACTCTTACAGCAATCCAAAATCTCGGCGTTGTTAAGTAAGTGTTTTTGTCTAGCCCTTTTAAATGAATTGTTTATTATATATTTTATTAATTTTTAGGGCCAACGCATACCACAACAAAAGCACTCCATTGAAATGGTAACAGTTGCTATTTAATGGCGTCAAATATCCTGATAAAATCTCCTCTAATTCTGCATTTTCATGTCTAGCGTTTCGGATTATTTTAAGTAAGTTGGTAATTAAAATGTATTTAATTTGGCTAGTAATCGAATATATAAGAGAGCTGACTGATAAATAGTCGGCCTACCAAAAATGCCAAGAATTAAGATATGTCCCGATCCTCGAAATAGCCATTTTTTCACAGAAGACGGTTTTTAAGACGGAAATTGCTTTAAGCAATGCCAAACTCTCATTCGAAAAGATCAAGCGGTTGCGTTTGTTTCCCGCTGAGAACAATCGCGGCCCACAAATTGACGAAAACTTACTCATGTTCAAATTTTTTCTTAAAATATTCCCACCCGTTCATGAGAAATTTTCAGGGCCCTAACAATTTCTCGTATTGATCATCCAATATCATTCCGTGGACTTCATCTACCATTGCTGATGCTGTCACATCTCTGGGACGGTCCTCGTCAACAATACTTCTTAGCCCGCCCTCGTATACCATATGCTACTTAGCACCACAAATATATTTATTAATTATATAATTAATTATTAACCAGCACATTTACTTCAAATGATATTGAACCTACCAAAAACTATCATAAACTATATAACCAAACACAGTTTAAACGGGACATCCCCTGATCCTCAATAATGTAATATACATTTTGAATGAAAAGACTAAATTACAATTTTCCACGTCATTTAAGAATAAGAAGACATATTTATGTTAATTTTAAACAGAACAATTAAGTAAAATATAACAACCCCTAATGAGGGGACTACATGCATACATATATAATTATTCTTGTGTCCGGTTTTAATGGGTTTTAATGATAAAGTATTTATGTCATATTTCAGCAAAGCAAAATATACACCTCAAAGATAAATAGAATCTATCTATATTTATATAAATTAATCCCTATTTCCCTTGGTCCCGGCATCATGCGTGAACGGCTGGACCGATTTCGCTAATTTTTGTTGTATTTTTTATTGTCAGGAGGAGGTTCTTGTTTTCTTGAAACGAGCGGATCGTAAGAACCGGGAGAAGCAAAACAAAACAGATTCAAATCCGTTTAACTGCTCAGGTGAAAAAGGGATAGTCAGGTTGCTCTTTCGCTGGATTCCATCTCTTTTTCAACGCCAGCGCGAAAATAACGCGAAGCTGACAACTCAGTGAAGATTCTCTATTTAATTGAGATAAAGTGACTAAATAGGGCTCTCCAAGCGCTCGCATAAATTGGTATAAGACAAACTCAACAATATGAAGAATTTTCGTTTTCTCAGCTCTTTTGTTCATTTTTGGCTTTGTTTGGAAAGAATTTTCAGGTTGCAACCGGTTTTGTTGGCAAACAATAAAAAGAGTCTTAAAGAGAGCCTGAAATAGCAACGCAACTGAAAACATAAAAAAAACACTGGCAACAACAAAAGATCGAGATCCAAAGGTGGAAATGTGAACACGTTATTAACAATTGTTAAAATTCGCTGAGAAAATATTTTCAAAGACAATTATGAGCCACAGCTAATCGATGAATTACAGCGACTTTTCGAGGACCATGATAGCGACGATCTGGTTTTCATTTGCGGTCGAGATGAGCGCATCATCTATGCCCACAGGCTGATGCTGATGGCCCGGTGAGTGGTTGATGATTGCCGTTTGAGGCACCGACACCTTACAAGGTACGTGCTGGCATGCAACATGAAGGAAAAGGTATTTATCAGCCAATCAATTGACTTTGCGATTTTCTCTACACTCTCTGTGGACAATGCCTGCACCTTTCTGACCACAGTAATGGATATCCATGAGAAAGCAGGTAGGCAAGAAAATATTTAATACAATTTCAAAAATCGCGCGGAAACAGCCACAAAAACGCCACCAAATCAAGAGAAAGAAGAAATATTCGAGATCCATAAGTTCCCGACGCCTTTGGATTTGACGAGTCGAAAACATGCACGGGTATCTGCTGCGCTCGATTTGCCGAGGATGACCCCAGGATGAAGGATCGTACTCGCGACGCCTTGCTTTTGATCGAAATCACCGAAGAAGACATTTGGTGTCGAAAAAAGATTTGGGCAAGTATGCCGAAACATATGCTAAAACTACATAGTGAAATTATTCCAATAAATATAATTTGTTGCCTGAGGTACAAAAATGATGTTCTATAGCAGGGGGTTTTCGTTTAACGTTTGATTCGTTGTGATACAATCAATATTACGGGAGATATAGCGATTGATTTTGGTAGAAAAATGGATAAGTCAGCGCTTTACAACACTGACAATTGCTATCTCTTTTGCTCTCTCACTCAAGGAACTCAACGTCAGTTGAATTTTTCTTAAAAATTTCGTAATGTAAATGGTAAAAGTGTTAACCCTGACTTTGCGCTTGCTGGGGCTGGTTTTTAAGATATATTTACTTTGTATTTAGTTTAGTGAGTATGGTGGGTGGTCTCATCGATATTATCGTGGAATTGTATATCGATATAAAAGTCAAAAAATACACGTAAACTAAAGAATCACCGGCCTACGAAAGAACCACAAAGACATGTTGTTTAAAGCTCATTATTCAACCATAATTGCATTTCTGGCGTTGGCGGTGTCCTCCTCATCAGCCGATAAGGCCACACCTCCTCCGTGCAAGGCCTGTAGTCTGCTTGCAACATCTTTTAAAGTTGGCCTGGAACGCACCAAGCGCGGCCATGGTGGTGGAGATACGGCTTGGGAGGAGGAAAAACTACGTTCCTATAAAAACAGCGAAGTCCGCCTCGTGGAGATTCAAGAGAGGCTTTGCACGGAGGCAGAACTGGTCAACAAAGACCATTGCCACAACCTCGCCAACGAGCACGAGGCGTTAATTGAAGACTGGTTCACCCACAAGCAGACCGATAGTCCGGACCTGCAATCCTGGCTGTGCATTGAACAGTTGGCCGTGTGCTGCCCGCGGAACACCTATGGACCAAACTGTCTGCCCTGCAGCGAATGCAACGGCAACGGTATGAATGAAACCTACATCATCTATGCATATTTATTCCGGCTATTATATGTACCATATTTACAATGTAGGCAAGTGCAAAGGAGCCGGAACGCGAAAGGGCAACGGAAAATGTTTATGTGACGCTGGCTACGTGGGATCTAATTGTAGGGAGTGTGCACTTCAGTACTACGAATCATTCCGCGATGAGAAGAAGCTCCTGTGTACACAGTGCCATGCTGCTTGTGGCGATGGCGGTTGCACAGGGTCTGGTCCCAAGAGCTGTCGCAAATGCAAGGATGGCTGGAGCATGGATTCGGAAACAGGATGCGTGGATATCAATGAATGCCTGGAGCAGCAGCGTCCGAACGCTTGTCGTCCTCAGCAGTTCTGTGTGAACAACGAAGGATCATTTACTTGCCTTGAGTGTGATCGGTCATGTAATGGTTGTGATGGCGATGGTCCAGACATGTGCAAGCAGTGTGCGGATGGCTTTGTACTCAAAGATAGCAAATGTCACGGTAAGTGAATGCCTTGGAACACGGTTTCCACCTATTGAGCTATTCCATCTAAAAAAAACATTTTACACTACATTTCTTGCCCACCTGCTCTCCAAAGACCAATCCGCAGAGGAGCGCGACTCGTATGTGAACTTCACGCGATTACTCACCTACTTCGGCATGTGCGTGGCAACTTGTGTTATCTTTCAGAGCTCCACACATATTGGTTGGGGATGTGTTGTCGGTGCGGCTGTTGCCGTATATATTGCCGCTTCGGAGTACTGGCTTAACTCGCCACAAGCTGGCCACAAGCCCGAAATCGACACAAAGCAATTAGAGGAACTGATTATGAAATCATTATAAGCAGAACTGAGCAAAAATTGGGCTATAGTGTTTATTCTATGAATAATTCGCGCTAGGGCATACAGACGATCAGCAGTATTTCTGATTAAACAAAATGTTCAAAAATATCCTTAAAGATTTTTTATATTGTTTTGTTTGCAGTCATCAGCGACTCGGAAACGGTTCTCAGTGAAGAGCCAACGCACAAAGAACTTTAGATGCCACTGTAACGCATGCACATGCACACATTTCGTAGTCAATTTTAGTTTTAATAGGCAATAATATTATCAATTAGCAATGAATTATAAGTAACACCGTTCAACTCTATTAATATGATTTTGTTTGTTCCACTCAAAACTGTACAAAAACTGGCTTGTTCAATTAGCTCAAGCTCATTCCTTGTTATTCGTATCACAATTACATATTTATTATATTTGGTTTTCAAACATTTACAAAATCACAAATACATATATAATACACTTAAAAGTATCACTGTTTTGACTCAATGCACTTCAAAATGGCTGTTTTTAATTTTCCCCCAGAGAACAATGTTGGATTTAATTGGAATACTGGTTAGAGCCGATAAATAAAGAAATAATCTAGAAAAAAAAGTTGTTTGGATTTATATCCAACAAAAACAAGATAGGGAAGCAAAATATTCTACAAGTTGATGTACACCACCACCACCAATCACATTTTCACATTCATAATGATCATGACATTCACATGATCTATACCAACTAAAAAATAAATACATACGATCCTTCACTTTGGCCACAAAATTGAATTAACACAGCCACAGAGTTCCATCTATCATTTAATTCTACGACCGTGTGAGATGGCTCTGACTTGTGCTAGCTGCTAATCCAATCTCCTCATCCGACTCGTCCGAGTCTAAGGGACTCACACGAATCGCCTGATACCACTTGTTGGTCAAGTCTGCCATCTGAGACTTGCACTCGTGCAACTCCTGGCTGTTGAATCGACGTGTGAAGAATGGAATAAAGTACTTGCGATCGAGGCGCCCAAAGCGATTGCGAGCCTGGTTAAAGGAGACATCCTCCTCTTCGGTAAGTTCGGACAAATGCTCTGAATCGATGGCCTGTCCCCACTCCCGTGTCTTCGACAGAGAAATGGATTTTGAGCGTTTGCGGCTGTTGTTGCTTCGGGGCGCTCCCGCTCCCTCCTCGAACGAGTTGCGTACAGTTCCACGTGGCCTTCGTTTTTTTCCTGGCTTAAGATACTTCAGCAGGGGCATGGTAGAACCACCCAAAACCAAGGTTGTAAAAAGCACGATTATCAATCTACGGATCGAGAGTTATAGAACGATGATTTTACTACAAACGGCCTGCGCTTACGTGGTTGTAATAATAACGTGGCGTTTCTCTTGGCTGTCCAGATTCAAGTGCAAAGATAGCGCATAGGAAATGGCTCCACGTAAGCCAGAAAACCACATAATAAACTGCATCTTGTTGTTAATTTTGTGCTCGCGGAATTTGTTAACCAAAAATGCGAGAGGAAAGATGTTGCAGGCGCGTCCAATTAGACACAGTACGATCGCCCATATAACAAACGACAGCTCCACTTGGTGCTTGAATGAAAAGATAGCTAGTCCCAGATAGGCGAACACACAAGTTTCGGCTATAAAAGCCAGAGTCCTCATTGTCTGCTGCATCGTGATTTGAGTGACCTGAGATTGGAGTAAGTTGTTGTTAAGGATGTGCAGCAAGGAAATCGAATTAATATTAAAGTCACACTTGCCGTAGACAAGTTGAAATGTGTGTAATGAGACATCACGATTCCACAAAACAGTATGGCCATGATTCCTGTAAAGGATGGAAAATGAATAAGTTATTGTATTAGCTCTCAGCTGTCACAGGACTTGTGTGTATATTATTTACCACTTAAGTGAATACCCTCGGCTAAAACGTAGGGACCGTAGGTGAACATGAGCATCATGGCGAACTCAAGGGACGGATGCTTTCGCAAGTCAATGTGCTTAAGCAAGAGTGCCGATATCAATGCGAAGATGACTCCGATGCCGGCCGAAGCAAAGAACATGGCACAGAACGTCTTTAGGGCATGGAAAATTGCCTCTCCAGTGCTGGCCTCTGCATTGTCATTGGCAGATTGTGTGATGGAAGCGGTTAGCACAATCGATATAGCGTCGTTCAGAATGCTCTCGCCGAACACTAACATGTTAAGTATTGGATCAACATCCAAAGCATGGAAAATGGCCACAGTTGCGACAGGATCAACAGCGGAGATGAGCGATCCAAAGGCGAATGACTCTGAAAAGCTAAGCCTGCGGGCGAGCAAATCAAGTCAGCAACAGTTAAGAAACCTAAGGGAAAATTAAAAAATTGACTTACCGGAATGCCACCTCTGCAAGACCAAGCAAGTATATTCCGGCTCCGATGACCAAAGCAGATATGGTTGTGCCAAAAATGGCGAAGACTAGAATCGAGCCAATGTTCTGAAAAAAGTTTCCCTTGTGCAAATTGTAGCCGGATTCAAATATAATGGGCGGTAAGAGGACAAGGAAGAATCCCATTGGGGAAAAGACCTCTTCGCGCTTCCAGCTGCCATTTTGTCCGGACATAACGTTTAAGGACAGTCCAATAAAGGCGCCTAGGAAAACCACCACGATGCTCTCCGGCAGATATTGGAATCCAGTCTGAAGCATTGAGTGTATCAAAAGAATACCCAGCATAATTATTTGTGTAAGAAAGAACAAGGAAAGCGACGAGTTATGTTCCTGCTCAACAGCATGGAAATCAATAAGCGGTGATTCCGTGACTAGAGTAGAATTGTTTCCCCCCTTCCTTGTGGTACTTCCATTGATGGGAGTAACAGTTGAGACTGTGACGTTGATCAGTGGATTATTGCTGGGTGACGAATTTACTTGACTGACGTTACCACTTTCTGGTGTACTAGAATTGTTAAGTATCGTATTTTCCTGCCCGCTGTTGTCCACTGCTGCCGTTTGCAGTGCGAGACAAATGACAGCAGCATTCCAAAACAGTGACCAGCGGCTAAGCTTCATGTTGACCAATGCAGTAATATGCGGATCGCACGCATTTAAGTAATATTACACAATTTTAACAATTTTTCCCTTTCATTACACCAAAAACACGTCAGTAACAGCTGTTTATCAGCCTAACATCGCAGCGTTGCCATATTATCTCACTAACTTCCAGATAATCGCGGGCTCTGCAAAATATTTGAACAGAAATTTTGCATGTAATAGAGTTTAATTGATTCAAAACGAAACGAACTATACACAAACAAGATTATTAATCATCAGTTCGCAAGGCGTCATTTCGACTTTTTTCAAGTCACGTTGGCGATGAGGTTGCAGGGGTCGGCACTGATAACTTTTGTGCAGAGATCTAGCTCGAAATTGACAAATTCAATGTTAGAAGACGGTGCGACTACCGTGTAACTAGGTCCGATTTTCTGTTTTTTTCAAGCTTAACAATACAGTTCCCATTCGCATGTTTCAACTATATACTGAAGTATACATACACAAGTGAGCATATGTATATTGTTTTTGAGCCACACGCGATCAGACCTGGGGGGTCAAAATAATTTGAAAGATAATGCAACTTGTTTTTTTCGGCTCTTTTCAGGCGGTATTTAGAATCTTTACTATACTTATTATGCAGAAAGCTGATTACCGGGCGCCTTGATCTTGGAGACCTCGTTTGTCGTTATCATGACGTGACCATATTGCAAAGAAAGCATGTACAGATGGCTTGAAAACCCTAAAGTGTATATACATATTTCCTTGATTAGTCTCGGGTGATCTGTCATCGACCGACGGATCATATCAGGTAAAGCTGACAGCCGTAATTGCATCCAAACAATATTCTAGTCAACAACAGAGGGATCATGGTGCGATTTAGAAAACAGTCCTTTAAAAGAATGGGCAGAGTATTAAACACATTTTAAAATTGTTGCGCGAGTAAGCAACTATTATTCGAATGGTACCGCATAGATTTGGTTTTGATAAGCTCTGATTTCGTGCCGACTCATCTTTCCGAGTTGGGGCTGAAAAAAATTTATAAATTAGCATTCAGTTTCACAAATCGACCACAGTCGAACTCAGTTCGAGCAGTAGACAAGTTGTGAGTTGAGTTGTGTGAAACCGAAATTGTCGAACGAACCCATCAAATATTCCAATTAAAGTAAGTATAGAAGGAGTATTATTTCCAAAGGGTGGCAGCACTAGCAAACAGCTGTTTTCATCATCGGAAAGGAAAAAACGTGGAGATGAGATGTTTAAATTAACTCCAAAACGCTAGGAAAATTTCGCCCTTCGGCACCAACAAGCACCAAAGAGCGCCACCGTAAACCCCAAAAATATATTCTCTGCAAGTCCGCTCCCGCTCCCGACACAATTCTCGCGAACGAGGTATAAATTTTGAAACTCATAAAAAGTGTGCGCTCTTTTTCTACAGAACCGTCGCAAAGATTGGACGTGTGTTGGCTGCGCTGCTGATTAGGTTGCTGTTAACACATTAGAGAATCAGTGTGTACAATTTATTAAATTAATAGTAGTTCCTATTACTAGTGAACAGTATACAAACACAACGCCTGTCGAATAGGTGACCTTTTGTAACTGCGTGTCGGTGCGTGTTAGAATCCGTCGTTGCTGTGCTATTGTGTGTGGTGACAGAAACACCAGGCGTTCGCCGCATGAAAGGAAAAAGTAAAATACGCTTTGTGATTATATAAAAATATACACTTTGCGAAAAGCGTGCAAAACCGGAAAATGTCTAAAGCTAAAAAACAGCACAGCACAGCAGCGGCGGCAGACTACTCGGACATGTGCAAAATAGTTATTTTGTGAGAGTGTGGAAAATCAATTTGTTCATGAATATTCTCCCCATCAACTAATGCCAACTGTTTGCTTCCTTTTTTACACAGCTTAATCCACAACACAACTGAACCAAAAGAATTAAACGAATTCCAACCAAAATGCCGCAAAAGACAAACGGACACAGCGCCAATGGTTTCAATGGCAGCAATGGAAATTCCTATGACATGGAAGATGGACAAACATTCCTATTTACTTCCGAATCTGTTGGCGAGGGACATCCAGGTAAGTGCGGTGTTCCCGTCCCTTAATCTATAGCCCAGCCTTCTGCAATTGCATCCCAGGTATCTCCTATTGCATCATAGTGCGGCCATGCATCTGCATATATGAATACACACATAGATGTATATATATATATGCAGGTACACATGAATCGAAATTAATACATACATACGCGTACTCTCGCACTTGGCGTCTGCGTTAGTTTTTGCGGTGTTTCTGCGTTCTGGTCCTAACCTAACCAAATTTTTTCTCCAGGAACTGTGGCCTGGCCCCAGCTCCAGCTAGACAGTCAGCTTGTTTTGTTGAATGTGGCTGCTGAAACCTTTTGTATTGCAATGCTGATGCGGGCTGAGATCTAACAAAATGGCGGAAGAGCTCTGGAACGCGCACCTTTGCTCGAGCGACTATACCTCGTTGAACCTTCTTGTTAATACAATTTACGCTTCTTTTGTATTCAGCTGAGATTTTTTTAAAAATCACGAAAAACGTGCTTGTTTACTCAGCAGTGGTCGCCTCAAAGCATAATTTTTTTGGGGTGACCAGCGAAGGGGTCTATAAACACATGTATGTACATACATACATATGTACTTCAATATGCCGGTTTTTGAGCCATATCGATGGGGCCTTGGTAGATTTTTTGGTAGATTTCATTGGAGATGCAATTGATGGATCAAAATATACCAGCTGGCGCCCTGAACCCTCACAGAACAAGCTGTCTGCCGCAAACAGCTGGTCACTCTCTATCCCCCACACAGCTGCGACCCGACCCAACCTTCTGCTTGTTGGGCCGACTGAATATATAGACTGGTTCTTTATCGTTCTCTACTCTCCGCTCTCACATTCGTAGATTTTGCGTCATGCGCACCATGTGCTTCTGGGACTACACATACATGTATGAAATATTCTTGCCACCGTAGCCGAAGGCAAATTATGGTCTCACTTTGTGGATACATATGTACATATGTATACACATGCATATGTATATATACTGTATGTTTTTATGTACTTGTACATACCGAAGCCGATCAAAACAATGGCCAAAATAAAACAAATCCACGTTGGAAACCAACTCTTTGGCGCCTTGTGTGGCAACGAGTTACTCAGCTTTTAAAGCTTATCTTTCTAGCGAAAGGCCAACCACGTGTTTCGCTCGAGCTGCCAATTTGTTTCGCCCAATATATTTGTTTATATCAGTAGGTCCCATGTGTATGTTCCTGTACGAACATACCATATGTATAGGTAGATACAGATACATATGTATGTACGTACTAATATTATTTGCTGATAAGAGAGAGAGATCGACCTTTTATACTACGCATTGATTGCTTTTACCATTTTATAACGCTAATTAAGTAGTCTCTATACGACAGAACTGATATTTGATGAGCGGGGAGAGTACCCTGGAAGACCCTGGAAAGTCACCATTAATTTCACCTGTCTCCCTATGATGAATGAGTGAAGTTTTCCGAAAATTATGAACTAGGTCTTATTAGGGTTTCCCAACGCATTCGAGACTATCAGATGTTCAGTCCCTATGTGAATTAAGTCGCAGTTAATTTCTTTGGAATATTTTTTGTATGTAAGCCCATGTGTTCAGCGTGTTTCCAAGTAATAGTGTTCTAAGAACGATCACTTTCTTAGATGTAATCGAGACAATGCGCCATTCAAATGAGTCAACAATTTTGTACTTTTGCCAGCTCATGGGGCAAGGAAGTGGAAAACTGTTGAACCCCCCATTGCTAACACAAGATTGGAATTCAATAACGCTGTTTCCAATGAAACCTGCCGAAAAGTTCCCATTTCGCAGGCGTGTTGCGTCTCATTACGCTGGCAACGCGACTGGTGTCACTTTTGGCGGCGTTATATGATTCCGAGGATCTCATGTGGATAGTCTTCTTTTTATTTTTGTTTAAATCTTTTGTTTTTAAAGCGGCATCGCAGCGTTGGGCTTGTGTTCTGAGCTATAGACATAAGTGGCATTGAATTTCGCTGTCAATCGCATACTGAATATTAAAATAAACTGCATGGCCCAGCAATTTTAGCTGTCGCGCCTGGGCGGCGACAAATGTCGAGGGAAAGCACATATCTGGCAAATATTTGGCACACTTGCTCTACTGGCCCATCCTCTCCCTCCCATTGTCCCGTGTAGTTCTGTATTCTGGTACACATTTTCATATCATGTTCTCACTTTCTTCTCTTTTTTTGCAGACAAAATGTGCGATCAAATAAGCGATGCTATCTTGGATGCACATCTCAAGCAGGATCCTAACGCCAAAGTAGCATGTGGTAAATTAAAAAAAATACGCATCAAGCAAAACCACTGTCGACCACAAATCTGGAAGAAATATGCCGATAAGGCCATTTTTTTTTTGTCTGTAGTGTCCGTCCATCAGTAAATAAACTCGTCTATAAAGTAAATATTGGCTCAACAATCAACGCGTGTATAATGCTAACCGCCCAATGCGGCACCCTTGACAAATAAAGAAATGTGTCGAATCCAGAGTGGCCATTGGGAAGCTTTGGACCCACTGAATTTGCTTGACTTGCTGCCGCCGCGTTGTTTTAAAGCCAAAATTAATCTTTCTTTTATTTTAGAAACTGTTGCAAAAACGGGCATGATTCTGCTTTGCGGCGAGATCACATCGAAGGCAGTTGTCGATTACCAGAAGGTTGTACGTGAGACAGTCGAGCATATTGGCTACGATGACTCCTCCAAGGGTAAGTTTGAATAGGTCTATCGTAGAATATACAGACATTTTTGTGGGCGGGATTTCAGGAACTTATCGTTACACACATGTAAAGCCAGAATTAAACTTAAACCAAAATCAAATCAAAATAATTAAAAAGGTTTCGATTGGAAGACCCTAAATCTGCTTGTCGCCATTGAACAACAGTCCCCAAACATTGCCAACGGTGTCCACATCAACCGCGAAGAAGACGACGTCGGCGCTGGTGACCAGGTACAGCAAAGAATTTCCGTTCTCCTACTACCGCTTAGCACTAAGTGATGCGGAAAAGTGTGTGCGTTTGTTCGTTACGTTTATATTTTGTTCAATGTTCCTCTTAAATCGTATTTTTATCCCATTTACTTTGCTCGCTCACAGGCCAACCTGAGTTTCATTTCATTTAAAAGCGATCAATCAGCCAGATATATTATTCCATTCTAATAGTACTTTAATATCACGCGACTACAAGCCTAGTGCCAGGAAGATTTATAATTTTAGTTCAACAATAAGATTGGATCAACGATCCCATTACATTGACATAAATAGATTATTTCGATTATTGTCTATAAACTTAAGACAGAGAATTTTACATGTTACATTTACGATTAGAACGCCTCGAGCAAAACAAAACCATTTACTGGGCTCAAATCATTGCATATACTCATCTTGAATTACACTTCGGGTATTCTAACGACATAAATGCGCATTCTACCAAACTAATTCTTAGGCATACCCGATGTACAGCTTTCACGAAAGCATTTCTTAAGAACCCATATGCCAACAGAAAATATGTATTGCATGTGGATTATTATTAAGGAACTCCCTGCAGTTGTCCCAATCACAGATGACTACAGGTATGGTTTTCTAGATACAGGTGCTACTACTAGAAATACAATTTTAGTATAATGCTCATTGCGGTGGATTGATTTGTTGAAGATGGAAGATCCAGCAATGGCTACGGTATCCCACATCCTTAACTAATTATAAACATTTTACATATAAACTAGAATAATAGGGTGAATAAATTCATTTGTTATACATTATTTACAGACATTTTCCCTGTGTGTGTGCAATATTGCTGCGCTATTTTCTTTTATTCTTTCTCTCTCGTTTCATGTGTACAAAACACGATACCAATATCATATCTTATTCGATATTATTCATTTTGCAACCGATTTTCAAAACTCAAAGGTTTCGATTTTAAAACGTGCAACGTGCTTTTGGCATTGGACCAACAATCTCCCGAAATTGCTGCTGGCGTGCATGTCAATCGCCCTGAGGAAGAAATCGGTGCCGGAGATCAGGTGTGGATTAGAAACAGTAATCAGTAAAATAATGGCATACTCGGCATGCCGAGGATCGTATGCCCTTTCCAAAGAGTTGCGCCTTAAGATTTCTGTCATTTTCGTCATTTGATTGCGGGTCTCCATAGCTATTTAATCTGTGGTTTTGGCTTAGTCGGTATGATAACTCTGTTGGAAAGGGTTTTACCGCCACTAATACAATTTGATGTTGCACAAATTTATAATTGTTTCCTATATCTACATTTGCGTAACTAATTGAAAGAGCTTATCAAGATTTCTTGATTACAATTGCGATTACTTTTGAAATCATTTTTTCAATTGCTATTTCTGTACCAAATTTAATGGAGTTGCAACATCGCAACGCTGGCACATCCCAAACATGCACTTCACCTCCACGCTTGTTATTTGAAGCCAAAAAAATTCGATCATCAAATATTTTTGATATATCTGATTCGGCCTTTTATTCAACATATTGTGCAGTTTAGTCTATTGTTTCAAATAACAAATTCGCAAAATCAAGTCACACACTACTGCATAATTTGAACAAAACATACATACTACATACATAGATAAGTACACTCTCTTATTCTTTTATATACACCAACACTATCGGACTATTACTTTTCATACTCAGTTACGGCATCTCTACACCCCAATCCTATTATCTAACTCTTGTTGCTTTGATCATCATCCCCTCTACTAATCCTAAATCTAAATGTATTTTACTCATTCCACTTATAATCGGGTAAGGCTTTTTGGTTTGTGTTGCTTTTGTTTGGCGTAATATCATAAAGAGCAATACTTAAGCGATTTTTAAACTACTTTCAGGGAATCATGTTTGGGTATGCTACCGATGAGACCGAAGAATGTATGCCTCTCACCGTCGTGCTGGCCCACAAGCTGAATGAAAAGATTGCTGAGCTGCGCCGCTCGGACGTCTTCTGGTGGGCTCGGCCTGACTCCAAGACTCAAGTAACCTGCGAGTATCTCTTCAACCAGGGCTCGGCAGTGCCCAAGCGCGTACACACTATCGTTGTGTCTATGCAACACTCGGAAAAGATTTCGTTGGAAACTCTGCGCTCGGAGGTTATGGAGAAAGTTGTTAAAGTTGTCATTCCCGCCAAATACTTTGATGCCAACACCATTGTCCACATCAATCCGTGCGGACTCTTCGTCATTGGTGGTCCGATGGGTGACGCAGGTCTAACGGGCCGCAAAATCATTGTGGATACCTATGGAGGCTGGGGTGCACATGGCGGTGGTGCCTTCTCCGGCAAGGATTTTACCAAGGTTGACAGATCTGCGGCGTACGCAGCACGCTGGGTTGCCAAATCCTTGGTAAAGGCTGGTCTCTGCAAGCGTTGCCTGGTTCAGGTCTCGTACGCCATTGGCTTGGCCGAGCCTCTGTCTATCACTGTGTTTGACTACGGTACTTCCCATAAATCACAAAAGGAACTGCTCGAAATTATCAAACGCAACTTCGACCTCAGGCCCGGCAAAATCGTGAAGTAAATAGAAACTGAGCCGCAGGCCAATTATGAACATCCTATATTTATATTTTTATGTTATGTTACAGGGACTTAAACCTGCGTCAGCCGATTTACCAGCGCACTAGCACATACGGTCACTTTGGACGCGACGGATTCTCGTGGGAGGAGGCAAAGCATTTGGAGATCAACTGACTAGACGCTGACGAACCGCTGCCGCCGTCACCTTGTGCTAAAAGGCTAAAGCCATCAACAGAAACAGCAACGTAATTTTTAGTTTTGTTTTGAAAAGGTTTAAGACGGCGAAGCAGGCAGCATCCGCCTGCGACCTCTCTTGGGCTTTTGTTTCTAACTGTATCTACGCTCTACGCTATTTAATTTAAATCAATTCGATGTGTGCAGTCCACTCACACAGCATAAGTTGTAGTTGTCATACTATCAGCATATATTTACTTAATAGAGAGCTCCCCTACAATTGATGAGCTTAAGGTATACATAAACATAGTATAGATTTCTCGCTCACATCTGCTACCACAAAACAAGTAGCCAGCCATCCCAACCCGACCCTCTTGTAACCGGCAATGTAATTTAGTTGGCCTCTTTGAATTTGTATAAAATCTTGAATATGTTTAGCCTAGAAATTACACACATATATCGTGTTTAAATTGTAAACATATTTTTGTATCTTTTATTATTGCTACTATGTGTTGTCGATTGTGCGTTGTATGAGTTCACCCAAAAGTTTTTAAACATCATGATTGTATACATATTACACTTTGTCCTTGTATTTCTGTAGCCAACTATAATGTATTTTCCTTTACAAAAATATATTAAAGATCCAAACGAATGACCTACATGCACATATGGGTATTTTAATTGTAACAGTATAATAGGAATCACCGCAATAAATAAACAGATAAAATAAACAGACAACCAATCGAGAATGATTGAATGGTGGAATTTTAAAACAGACCCAAAAGACTCTTATTATAATAGTTAATATTTATGGATCTGTGTATTGTACATACGTGAAACTTTCACAAAATAATGATCATTGCAATAAACTTAATCGACAACTTATCTCTTTTGTTTCCAGTTCCCGTGGGCCTTTATTGAGAAAATTTGGTAAGTTGTATGTATGTATAATCTAAAATACAATACATGCATAGTTTTTTGTTTATAATTATTTGAATGTATCCTGTATATCACTCAACAGCTTGGCCGTACAATTGTTCTATGCTATAATCAACATGTTATAATACAATTTGTCACAGCATGGCGCAAAAACTAGCATATGGCATTTTCAGATGAAAATATCTTGAGAAAAACTAGAATCTCGGATTAAACTACGTTTGGGGTACCAGCACCAACCTTTTCCTGGTATATGAACTTCATGCTTAGTAATTATATGAAGTAAAATTAAAGTATTTGGTTAACAGCTGAAGGACGTAGGCAAAAATTTGGTTGGATGACGATTTTTTCAGTCGCTGTCGTATCATGACGTACGCCGAGACTGTAAAGAGCATATAAAACCCAATCAAGCAGAAGACAGACCACAAATAGTGCATGTTTTCAAAGCCCAGAAAAATCAACAAGAACTGAGATTTCTTGAACATACAGAACATTTCGGTGTCCTCGCAAATTGTATCGCCTCGTCCATAGTCGTATAACGCTGCTACTAGCCCCTCCATACCATGGCGCAAATAGCTAAGAGACATCAGGAATCGCATGATAGGGGAAATGTATGTATCTTTGCCGTAGCCAACGCCATATATAGATAGCAAGATCAGAGGCACTGCCAACACTGGTCCCATGAACATACCATTCTGAAAAGGTGACAAGGTGATGAGGACTCGACAAACAATCAACTGATAAACGAACTTACCACCAAGCTTAGTCTACTGGAAATCAGTAAGCCAAAACTATCAGAAGTTAGGGCCGTAAGAAAGGCTATCGTAAATAACATAATGAAGCGGAACCATTCCAGAGGCTGGCTGGACATTAAGTACACAATTGATAAATAAATGACGGCCAGTACGAACATCGATGGTAATTTGGCAGAAATCATCGCAGCGTAGTAGGAGCTCAGGCGGTACCACTGGTTGAAGTATTCCCTCTTCAACAGATTTATTTCCGATGGAACTGTTGACCCAAAATGATAAATTAGCGTGTATAGGGATAAACTAACAGACATGACTTACAGTAGAGCAGTACAGGCATCATTGGCAGGTACAGGTAAGCTATTATAATAGTGAACATAAATCCGAAGTTGAATAGCGCTTTGGAAGCCAGGCGTCCCACTCCAACATAAAGGCCTCCCACGATTAGTGCTAGCACTATGTTCATGTAGAACTTTAGCTTGATGTATGACTGGAAGATTTAAGGATGTTAAGATGTGTTGTGTTGATCCATTTTCTTCGTTACTTACTTTGTCCCGCCACATTTGGAGTAGCATTCGGGTCAGCAGAAGCTTATACTGCATCCACCAGCTAGATTTGGATTGCAATAGCTTTGGGTTTATTTCCTCATCGAACTGCTCCATTTCGTAGAATGACGACGCGCCGGATGTTGTGTCGGTTTTGGTGGGTGTGGTTTTGCCTTCGTCCGCTGTTGGAGTCCACCGCGTGACCTTGCCGTTGGCAATGAGCTCGACCATTGGCTCCTGGTAAGCATCGCCATACTCGTGACAGGCCACCTCAATGATAAAATCAGCCGGGTTGTAAGTGACAGGACAGCTCAGACCCAAATGTTGCATGTAGGGTACAATGTTGCTTCCACTTCCTTGGTAAACGCATTGACCTTCGGCCAGTACGTACACAGTGTCAATCATCTCAAAGATCTTGGCAGAAGGGGTATGGATTGAGCAGATTACTGTGCGGCCGCCGGCAGCTAACATCTTCAACAGCGACATACACTGCGAGCTAGACAGATCGTCCAGACCGCTTTTGGATCTTCAGTAAGTATTTATTTAAAGATTTAAAACACTTGTCAATCGCTTACGTAGTGGGCTCATCAAGGAAGAGGACAGGTGGATTATTGACCAGTTCAAGAGCAACGCACAAACGCTTTCGTTCACCTCCAGACAGCCTTAGAGCCTTTGTATTTTCTGATCGTTTTAGGCGTAGCATTCCCAAAATTTCATCGATCTGCACAAAGTTTATCAAATTACTTTAAATAGAAATATGTTTCTTTTTATTTATGGTCCTCACCACTTCTAGCTTTTGTTTTAGGCTCAGATCATTTCCCAGCTTCAGATGGGCGGCCAGGAGCATCATTTCGAGAACAGTAAATTGCGGATTAAGAACATCTGTCTGAAATGCAATCAAATCAACCTTAAGGACGACATTGCCTATAAGCAAAGCTCTTATACATACCTGCATTATGTATCGGGACATTTTTCGGAAAACTCGCATATCCCTTGGATTGTTGTTGACTAATATCTCGCCGACATTGCCAACAGCCCTGCATAGGATATCAATGTTTAAGTAGCCAGTATGTGAAAATCAGCTTGATATGTCTTACCCAAATCCTGCAAGCAGGTTCAGCAGTGTTGTCTTGCCAGCTCCTGAGGGTCCCATAATCGCGGTCAGTTCATGGGAGCGAAATTCCCCATTCACCTCCCGCAAAATCTTCTTCGTCTTTTGGGCTGCAAAAGGGTAATCGGTAAAAAGGGTATAATAAGTGAACTTAAAGTGATTGTATGATATGGTGTGGTATAAATTGTGGTTAAATGGCACATGCATCACATGAGTATAGAATTGACGTCGATAATTGTGGTTTAATATGTGCATTTTAAGCCGCAAAAAATGATCGGGTAGTGGGACATGCATTGCAATTACTTAGAAAATTATGCCCAATTATCATTCTTAATAATCAAATATTATACACGATACGTTCATTAGAATTTACTTAGCTGTAATGAGAGTCAGTTGCATTCGCATTCACTTACCATTGCATCTATCCGGAACTTCAAAATTTAGTCCCGTAAACTGCAAATTAACTGCTGGCCAGGTTGGCAAATACTTTAATCCGGTAACAGATTGAAAATCCTCTGAATATTGGGGTAGTTCAATGCTTATGGCATTAATGTCGCTGCTATACTGCAGCGAGCTATTTTGGGAGTTGGTGCTGCCTCTGATGCTACTGGTGGTTTGCATCTTGATTGCCTGTTAATTAGGAATTAATGCCGTTTTTTAGGTTGAAGTTGCCCATGAAATGATGAATTGATGAATGAGCCTCAAGTAAATGAGAAGTGGAACTTTGCTGTAGGCGTTTAATATTTAATTGAATTATTTTATAAACATTTTTTAAATCTAGCATCGGTGATAACCTCTCTATACTTTTCGACGCGATCTTCGACGGCGGTCTGTATTTCTTGTCGGTTTATTTGTATAATGGAAATTAATGTGGAAATAAGTAAACACATTTAAACCAGTTTGTCAAAAGTATTCACAGCTTGTTCGTTTTTCAAGACTTTTTGTATTATTATTCTAATTAGCGATGCGGGAACTTGAAACCTTTCATCCCGCTACAAGTGAGTATTAGCATTTATTACAATTACTTACGCTTCGATACGACTACAAAACGCGCTGCTTTCGTTCTGGAAACAAATTTCGCACTGAGCAAAGAACTTTTTAAATGAATTTCATTTCCCCGGCTGGAGCGGGATCGCGCGAGTGTTGTGCCAGAGCGCAGCTCGAAAAATAAACTCAGATTTTCAATTGATTGAAAGTAGTACGGGAACGACTAGCAGCCGCAGCATGAATTCTGACCGAGTGACTGACTGACAGGCTGGTTGGACAGCCGGCGCCGGCTGACTGTATGCCGATCGCATCTGGGTATTTGGGTGTGTGGGGGAGAGTAAGTGTCACGGGTTGCTGGTGAGTAATCTCGGTAGAGTCAAGTAAACAAAACTTGTCCAGAATTTTGCAACAACCACGATTCGCTGTCTCAGCTGCAGCCGTAGATAAGCGGAGCGGCAACTTCCAGTTCAAGCAGCTGTTGCAGTAACTGCACAACAGTAGATTTGGGGAATATAAATACGTATAGAGAACGTTATCAGCTTGAATACACATACATACTATGTACTATATGTACAGGAGGGCATTAGCGGAAGTTTCATTCAAATGGTATTTAATGGCGGCAGTTGATAGCTATGTGTACTTGTCATTGTTTATCTTTTCTTGCCTCTCATTGATTGCATGCTCTATATAATTCTCAGCATAGCTGCATGCAATATATATAAAATGATATATGTAAACGTATTTGAACCGCTGCAATTGGCTTTGTTCGTGGAAAGTCTTTAGCGGCAGTGTATGAATACAAAATAGGAGCTGAAGCCGGTGGAACAGGGTGCGTGACCAATGGCCTCACTGTATACATTTGAGGGGTACTATTTTGGCAACTCTCTTTTCCATATACTCTTTATAAATATATCCATGAGTTTGGAAGAGGTGCCGTTTAAAGGGTATGCAAGAGGCGACGTGCCAACAGATTCTTTGTTTCGTATCTTGACTTTTTTGTGTGAGTAATGGTAATGGCGCATGCAAATGCATTGAAGCGGCGAATGTTGAACTTTGCTTTGACTGTGCGATATATGATTAAAAATCTCACATTGTCCACTGACGAATAATACATATACATATGTATTTATGAAGCATCGGATAATTTCACCATACCATTATAATTATATTCGTATACGACTATTCGTATGTACGATTATTTACAGATTTATCAGGGCATATTCAGTGACCGAGCTTTATTTTGGTGCCCCAGGAGCCGATTTGTCTGACGTAAGCGAGCATCAACAAATGCGATACGAGAAGCGGGCTCCATCCGCAGTTAGATAGAGAATTCTGTGGATTCACAGTGTTATCGCCGACTCCAACCGGATACGTTGTGCCTGTATTTCTAAGTGAGATAATCCCGACTGCAATCAGTTGACTTTTCAGCTTTCATATATATATGTACAGCTGTGGCATAAATAATAGCACCATGACACTCAATTTTCTGTATTGAAGGATTTTGTTTAAACAGTGGTATTAATGAACGGTTTAAGAACTATATATATACTTTAGTGAATCTAAGTTTCCAAGCAATAGTTTGTATGACTTAAACGAAAATTATCAAAAAGAGGAATTATTCAGGAATGAGGCGGCAACAAAAATAGCACTGATCCAAAATTTAAAAATACAACTTTAAGAAGCTTTCCAAATTTTTCACAAATTAGGTTAGTTTAGTTATATTCAAAGGTTAATATTTTATTGTAAAGCCTTTGGAAGCAACCACAGTGTCTCAGCGCTCTCATGAAAGTTCACCTAATTTTCGCATCTTTTCTGGGGATATGGCTCCACCAATAATGCCTGATACCCCAAGCAATATTGTCCTTGGTTTCGAATTAGAAACATATTTTTTAGCTTTAGCGCAGTTTTTCATGGTGTTAATATCTGGCGACTAGCGGCAGCATACATTAAATACCTGACTGAACCACCTCGAGCTTCTGCTGGCTGTTTTGGATCATTGTCCTAGGCGACCACAACGGCATCCACATATAGGCAGCACGTTGTTTTAATTTGAATATGACAGTTGATCCACATCTATTTGTGCGAGTATTGGCCACCCAATAATCGACAAGCATGCCCATGAAATGATACTTATCCCTGAGGTTTAATGGTTTTATATATTAGCCAGGGGTTTTTATCTGCATTAGGTGCTGTCATACATAAGATTATAGCCTTTTCCACAAAAAAAAAATTTCTTCTTCGACCACATGAGTTTCTTGGACAACCCAGTGTATTTGCATACTGCACCACTTTGCCCCATGGCTTTCTTTCTAAAGTGGATTTTTCCACGACTTTTGGCACTTAATTATGTTCTTGTATGGACTAACTTGCCATCCTTGCCATTTTTTAGATCCTTTTTTAGCCTGGGACGATTTATAGGGTCCTTCTGTCTCACAGCAGTAGTTGACCGGAAATGGCGGTATAGCGGCTTTTATTCCAGTGTTTTTGTTGGTTGCTTGTTTTAAGCATTGAACAAGCCAATGATCAACCACAATTGGATTCACCTTGTAGGGCCTCTGGGATAAAAGTTTTGATCCTCTTGCTTTATTCTTACCTAAAGGCTTTCTAAGGCCCAAAACTAATTTTATTTTGTCAGTTCCTCCACAACTACTCACCGAATTTTAATTTAATAGAACATAAAATACAAAGCTGGAAAAGTAAAAGTTTTTATAAAAAACCAATTTAGGCATTTTTGTTGCCGCCCTATTCGCTTCTTTTTGGAAATTGCCTAAGTAATAGAACCGTAGGAATTTGAGAGAAGCACACCTACAGAGAGGAAACAGACACCTAATGATATTATAGTGAGGTCAAATAGTATGAGTGACGTTTTGAAACAATAAAGACTGTAGTACCAAACAGTGCTATTATTTCTGCCGCAACTGTATGTAGTTTGTTTCAGTCGTTATCAAACGGTTGATCATAATGATTCCCTTAGTTGACCCCAAAATCGATTTAACAGTACTTTCTGATTGTATGTGCTAGCCTGAACCGGCGGCAAGAAATATATTTTCCATCTTATTTTCGTACATACACAACCACAATCACATTCTCGCAGCCATTCGACTTTCAGGTTCAACGAACGCGCTTAGATATTGCTGCTGGTGGGTATTACAGTCTTTACAGCTGCGTAAATGCACCACTCACTGGCACTAGCCACCACTACAATCGGAGACGGAAACTAGAGGGTCATAGAGCTCCATTGCACTTACTCCACTTTCTTTTTGTTGTTGCTATTCGCGTTGGCTTTCCACTCTCTTTTGCCTGGCAAGGCAGCTGTTTACGGGTGGCATGGATGGTGGGAGACTGAGAGTCGGAATCAACAACGACAACTGCAACGAAACCGGCAGCAGCGACGACTTGTTGCACCAACGACCGAAAAGGTACTGAAAGCATATGAAGGAAGAACAACAGAGTGGCAGTCCCCAACAGATTGCACAGGTTCCAGCACACATCAGACAAAGCAAAGTATAAAGAACACTTCTAGGCAAAGAACAGGAGCTTTTTTTCATCCTCTGCAGCTGTATCACTTGTCAAACTTGTTGAGCAGCCTCAGGTTTTCGTTACAGCAGGATATACATAGTTTATTTATAGTCATCCCACAGAAATGTTCTCTTCAATACTCGTATAAACAGATGCCCATGCCCCAGTGGAATTCATTGTTCACACTTGGAGCGGAAATGGTATTGCTACTGAATGCAGAACTTGATACGAAAAAATATATATTGCATGAAATTTAAAAATCATTCTCAGAAACTTCGCAAAATTATGGTGATTATCATAAATGAGCACGCCTCACACTGCAGTCGCTGACATTACAAAAGAATTTCTAACATATTCGAGGCAAAATTGCAAATTCATTGCAACGGCTTTTACAGAACGCATGGCACATATTCCTATTCCGAAGAACCTGTGCCTTCTACATCTATATTCATTTTAATTGTTTGGCCAATGATCGCCCCCGCAATCAAATTACGAAGAAATAACGGACTTTCAAATTGATGTAGGCAATTGGCTATCCAAATAAATCATGATATACTTTTGGGCTTTTCGCTATATCTCGTTTACATACCGGTTGTTTTCGTAATTAAAATTTCGATATCGATCGAAAGTCTGAATCCTCACAATCTTGGAAGAGTAGGCCTTTCGCCGATCTGACCTCATTTGCATCCTGTACCTATTGTTTTTTTTAACTGGTACTCGAAGAATATGTCTGTTTGTCAAAGCCCGCCGGTAAATTCTATTGATGTTGTTCATTAAAAGCTTCGATCTGGTTACAGTGTCTAATCTCATATTCTGATCATATAGATTGTGTGTACCATAGGTTCCCGGAGTAAATGGAATCGAGAGTTTTTGTTCGACATTTCTTTATTTCCTCCACGAATGAATTATAAATATATATGTGATTACAAAATATGCTTGGCACTTAAATACCATGTGCATTTATTAGAAACCTGTATAAAAAGTTGGTATAAAATAGTTACATACAGGCGTAATGCATCTTGAATACAAATTTGCATAGATTGCAATGCTTTTGTTGTTGTACATGTACATGTACATATGTACATATGTATGTAAATTGTATATAAAATATGTTTATTCACAGACGACAATATATAATTTCTTCCTTGCTTGTACACATTTCAAAGGTCACATGAAAATATATTATTTTAATATTATATTGGATTTGGCAAAAAGTGTGATTTGATGTTTCCTTTACTTATAGCCCTATATTTGCTTACTCCTTAATGTTTTGTTCAATGTTATTCAGTTTGATCAAATGTTATCGTTTTCTACATCTGGGCTTGGAATAAAGCGCCTATCTACGTGATAATGCATTTCGCAACTAAAAACTAGGCAAAAATAAAATGTACAAGGATTAAATATGAAGAACCCAGAACGTTTTGTTGATAACTAAATAGGTAGGTAGGCACATAGAAAGCTTTTAGAACCGAAAAATTTTTAACTTAACAAAAACTTAGCGCACAGTCTTTAGCTTCCAGCGCAAGAACAGGTACGCTGAAATGCGCAACACCACAAAGATCACAACAAGGGCCACAATATCCAGGGTAAAGTTCGCATTCACCATGTCCAGCTCCTCCAGCGTGGTTATAGGCGACTTGAAATGGCAATAGGTCTGGAAGCATCGTAACTTCTCACGCTCATATCCGTAGGTGGCTAGAGCGGTGCCCTCGAAGCCGTAGCGGATGTACGACAGATATGTGATCCAACGTAAGTACACCGGTATAGCGTCGAACGAGACGAAGAAACCGGAGAAGAGCAGGAATGGCACGGACATAACCGGGGCAAGGAAGACTCCGTTCTGGACATTCATGGCAGCTCCA